CGGCCCGCCAAATAATTTTTACGGCCCGCGAGTACATTTTACTATGAATAAATTTATGTTACTAAATTATTATTATTAATATTAAAATTATTTTACTACCGTGTTTACCCGAAAATAAGACAGTGTCTTATATTAATTTTTGCTCTGAAAAATGCGCTAGGTCTTATTTTTTCCAGGAAGAATTCACATTTATTATTGAACAAAAAAATTCCCAAGTCGAACTTAGACGAGAGTGACGTATATCCGGTGTGTCGAACTGTCGCGTTTTTATAGCGTCAACATCGGACTCGCTGACCAATTAGTGCTTACAGACCGTAGCACTATGCAAATGTCACGTGGCGTGATTCCCGGCCGACCAATTAGCCATCACCAACCTTCTTGGCCCTCGAAATGTTTGGTGAAGAAAATATGGCCCGCGGGCTATGATAAGTTGGACAGATCTGCTTTAGTGTACTGTATAAAGTAATAATTTAAAAGACGAATGACGTAATTACCATTAGGTTGGTTTATTTGTTTACGTCGAGGAGATCTGTCTTGGGAGGTTTCTAAGGGAAACTGGCCCCTATTTAGGTGTTAATAAGGTGAAGAAAAACCCGGAAAACTCCGCGTGATCAGGCGTGAACCCACGACCAACACCAGTGCTCTGTAGCACGTCGGATTAACGAACTTCAACTGTATGTATGATTTTTTTTTTCATTCAAATTACAATTTTAATTAATTTGAATGAATTACAAAATTACAAAATTTTAAGAATAACCCTTAAAATTAATTTTAGAGTTATTTACGTGCCGATAAACCTTAATTTTACTGTAAGCAGAGTCAATATTTAAGTTTATTCATTTTCACAAAGCGTCATTCTCTGTGACAATGTCTAGAAAACATCATTTAATATCTCACGTACAGATACAGTACGTAAAATGAAGAAATATTTATAGTAACTGTCCATCATTTACTTGACATTTTTTTTTTTTCGAATTTCTTCAATACAATTGGATCGAAACCAGCTCTTTTTATGCCGCATCTCGCAGGTAGATGGTAATTACCACGAGTCTTCTAAAGGCAAATCCGACGTTTGACGTCACCATAAAAAAATTCCTCTTACGAGACCGAATAGAAGAGCGAGACTGACGCAACGTTGTGACGTCAGCAAAACTCACCTTCGGGTCATTTTCCATTCGACACTTACAAAAAGAGTGTAACTGATCTAGAAGGTCGCAAATTGAAACTTCCATTAAGTGACAAATTCTAAATCATAGCCTTTTTAGGTCGCTCTCACTAATTAAATAATCATATTTATTATACATAACCACGGGGGGATCCGCAGAAAATTTTCCAGGATGAAAGGAAACTAAAGTTTATTGACGTAACTAATTTCTGCGGGTTTTTTCACCAGTAGATTATAGTATAGTGTGTTGCATCGATGTCAGGTCCAATAGTACCTTCCACGGTTTCTATTATAATTTGGGAATTTTCCCTCGATCCCAGGGAGGGACAAGTGCCCCGTTTGCCCCCCTCTGCGGGTGCCCACTTACCATACCTAACCTATAAAAACGAGTAAAATACCATGGAATTTCAAACTAAGGATTCTTTTTATTTTTTTCACTTTGGTTACCGGTAAAGTGTGAAACTTTGTCACGCGAACCGTGACCATGAGAAATTTTAATTGTCTCGTTAGAAATTTCGTCATTTTAATCGATACGTTTCGAGTAATTGCGACTACGAAACACAATTTCAATTTTATTCCGAGAAAACAATATTTCTAATTGTTCTTTAACGACGTCCTCGTCACCTCATGTTTTTTTTTTTTCTGGCTTAAATTTCATCGCTTAATTACATATCTTTCGATCAATTCGCGTAATCTTCGAGTCCATTAAAATTTCATTATGAAAATTCCTGTTTTTTACATTGCTAACGATGCGGTCGAATTGTATTTAGCACGACACAACACAGGCTTAAATTGATCAATCTTAAGCGCACTTACTTGGGTATAATCCTCTCGAAAAGTATATTAATTCCGCGTTATGTATCTACGTGTAAAGCTTGTGCCATTTTATTTGTGAATAAGTTAAATATCTATTTAAAAATCCACCACAGTTACCTAACTTTCCCCGCAAGTGTTAAAATTGTATGTGGCGCCATCTGTTATAAAGTTTTTAAATAAAATCTCGTATTATTAATTCTTAATTTCGAGGGTAGGGATGTTTTATAAAAAAATTATGGTAATAACGAGTAAAATCGTCATTAGATCGACCCTACTGGAGATATACACGACCCCTTTATCTCTCCACCCCCGTCGACCTTTAACCACCAAAATTTAGTAGCACCGATCCCCCTAATACGCAAACCTCCCAGAAAAATTTCAGAAATTTCCGACAAAAGGCACGGGATTTATTAGTCTTCAAACAGGTTGAATGAAACCCCGAATCCAAAAAATGTAAGAATCTGGGAGGCGCTCGCCATATTTTCCCTTGTTATACACAACAACTGGGAAATAATAAAAAAAATATATTAAAATTGTAATTCCATTTTATTCGAGAAAATAAATAAATAAATAAAAAAAAAGTCAAAGTTTGAAAGGAGATAAAAAGAGTATATTTAATTTTGAACCCGGTGTACCGTTTACGCAGACCTGTACGAATATAATAAAAGAATTCCATCCCTCGTCGTACCAATCAGGAGTCCACAAACGATTTAAAACTTCATTAAAACTTTATTTAATAATAATATTTACAACCAATTTGAGTCGTGTGGCAGGACATAGATCTGTTGTAAAATAGTCTGACTATAAATTTGACATTTAATTTACAAGGAACTTCATTGCACCAATAAAAAAAGGGAAGATCACACAAATTCGAGGGATTATAAAAACTATTCGTTTATACTCGTCGTATCTTCAAATAGCATTTATGCAAACGTTGAATCACGTGACACGGAAAGTTTTTATTGTCTGTCTTTTTTTTTTATGTTTAACATTCACTTATCAAAATAAGAATAGCATTCGAATACTGTTAATGATTTTTTACAGCCCAAAAGAGGATCCGTTCCAAATTCCATTGATTTTCTTTCGTCAAATGAATGGAATATTCTAATCTTTCTATTTTCTAAAAGAAAATGGTCTCGTCCTTAATTATTAAAATCACTGGGGGAAGGTTTTAAATTAATAGGGAGTAGTTAGAGACTTCCACAAGGCACCCACAAAGTCTTACTCTGCTCGTCTTCGACGCACGTTTTAATTTGTGTGCACATGTAAGCCAAATTCGAACCGGGAATCACAGCTGAAAAGAATCTTTCTTAAAAATGTGCATTTAATAAATTTACGGTAAAATGTCAAAGAATGATAAACTTAATCGTTTTAAACTTACTTATATTTCAGATTTTTATAGGAAAGAAAGTTTCTATAGAATTTTTACCAGAAACACATCCTGTCTTTTAGGTTAATTTTATTCTTATCAACAACAACTAAATTATAATATTAAAAAACAATTATCCAAATTGTTTAACATTAGCTGGGACAATGGGGCATTTTATATCATCATAGTATTTTTTTGATTCTTAATTAAAAGGTTTTATCAAATTAGTATAAAATCAAATGCATTTGAACTATTGCATAATGTATTTCAAGCTTAACTAGTTTCACTTAATTGATTTTAACCATAACACAGTAAAACTTCTGTAACTGGAATATTTCTTTGACTCCAAGAAAAACAAAGCATTCCATAGGTTTCTGTGGAATGGCAAAGGAATTTAACATCTCCATCTTGAATTTCCTTGAGTTGATTCATGGAAATTTCATGGAAATTCGATAATTAGGATAACTTTGAACAGATTTATTCTATCAAAGTGATCATAATTGTCGAATTTCCATGAAATTCTCAGGCATTTAGTTGTATCTACTTTTCGACACCCACTTTCAGTCAATGTTTCAGTCCTCAAAGTGAGAGGATCTCGCTTTATCTCGACTAGATGTACCTGCAAAACTGCTTGATTCCATTAGTTACATTAAACATTTTACTGAAAGGGTTATTTGTTTTAAACAGCCTATCAAAGATTTTGCATGTTATGCAAAAGAGAGAAAGATCTATTCAGAATCAGCATGCTTTGCTTCTATTGTTGTCTGACTCAGTTTTTTCCTGCTCCTTGGAGCTTTGAGTTAGAGAACTTTTACTGTAATTTAAATTTTATCAACCAATTACTTGTATATATGCTAAAAATGTAACACTATACTGTTTGTGGAAAGAAATGGTTGCATAAAAAAATGTTTATATAAGACTTAATTAAAATTACTTACCATTTATAATGTGTTTATATTCACTTTCGATCTTCAATGTATGTTCGTACATTTCTTTCGCAGCTTTGGTAGATATTTTCTCTGTTAAATATCTCGGATCTTTTACTTCTCTATAAAGATAAATAATAATAAATAATCACTGCTATAAATTGCCTCTTTTGCTATTGCATTTAAACTGGATGCAAATATAATGCTTAATTACCAAATTGTCTCTAATTAAAATCTGTCATATTCTTGCCATTGAATTTATTTGCATTATTTTGCTACAAGTGATTTATAATGAATCATGATATTTAAAAGAAAATTTTATGTTTGTTTTGAGATTGCAACTAATATCAAAAGTATAACTACTTTTGATATTAGTTGCAATCTCAAAACAAAACAAGTTATAGTAGAAGACAATATGGAAAAGCGATGTCACTCTTTTAACTGAAATATCTACTCATTCTGAACAATACATTTATAATATTGATACATATAACTATGTATTATAAATATATTGTTAATAAATGTATTATAAATAACCATGGATACATATTAGACTTGTTTACTCTCCTCATAAGTGGATATGCTAATAATATGATGAACTAAGAAATAATAAGAGTGGTTTGACTTCTCTTCCAATTTGCTGTCAGGAAAATGCCATTCAAAAATTGTCATATCTGAATCATAAAGTGGACAGGGCCCCATCTTGTTGAAAAATGGCACCGGGAGGAAGTCGAGATAAATTTCAGCTATGCCACTGTGCAGAATGGCAAAACAGCATTTCTCATTTCTTACAAATGGCACAGATGTCAACATTAAACATTTGCAGACTTCCAGTCTGATACAAATACAATGCAAGTTTGAAAAAATTTAGCTTGCAAAAGATAATTTTCTAACTTTTATTTTATTATTTGGAGATATACAGTATTTCACTCTAAGAAACTGCAATCTATCCAATTAAAAATTAGTTCTTAAATTTTGATTCTTTAACTGAATAATATTAAATGATCCTCAATCAGTATCTGTTGCAGTCTTGTATAAATTTTTTACATAAAGAAATTTAAAAAAATGTAATAACTAATAATTAATTATTAAATTAGATCAACTAATTACAGAATTTCAATATATTAAATATAATACATACCTGATCTGTTTAACTGATCTGAATTTCAAGAAGATCACAATTGGATATATTTGACATCTTTGCAAACATTCAACTGCTGACAGATTGACATCAAGAATAGCATGACAATTCTAAGAAGGGGAACATATATATTACATTTTTATTCTTTATATAATATTTTTTACAAACAACAATTGTATGCATATCAAAATATATTTGATCAATTTCTAACTGACACTATTTGGTCGCACTTTACCTCACAATTCTTGAATCGGGGACACTTTATATTTAAACATTTATTATACTGTTAACCAATTAAATGTAAAAAATGCTTGATTGAAAGAATTTATTATAGTATAGTAATCCAGTATATTGTAATAATCTACTAAGAAGTTCAAGTAACCTTTTAGAGACTCAAAGGTCAATAATTAACATGGAAACTACCAAAATTGACAGATTATATAAAAAAATACTCTACCAGTTTCATATCGAGATGTAAACAACATCAAACTGATCATCATAGTTTGGCATTTTACTCATGAATCTATTTCCCATCTGTTTTGGGTAGCCAAATTGCACAACATAATGTAAAACATAGTGTACAATTTATGCATCACTTTGTGACAATTTTTTATCTTATTTGTATTAGATGCAAAGATAGCATGATTATACTATATTTTTCAGATTTAAATTAAATTGTAATTAAATCATAATCTCTCTCATTATGTCAATTATCAGATTTAAATGTATTTATAATGGATAAAATAATTAATGATCTTCTCAGAAACAAAAATAATTTGGTAGATACTACTAAACTAATAATGCTAGCTAAGTAGAATTAATTAACTTGAAAAAAATAATAATTAGTGAAGATCATTCTCTGTATTTTTATCTAAAATACAGTAGACCCCTTATAAAACGGGTTCATATAGTTTGATTCCTATATCATGGCGAAAAACTTGTGACAGTATTCGTACAAACATGCTAAAAAAAACTCGTATAATTCAGTAAAGCGTCATCACCGCCTTGTGTCGCGACAGGATTGGTCAAATCTAGACCAATAGCAGATATTGCACAAACCGTTGAGTTTAAACAAGCAGCAGGCCTACTAAAAACCATTTACTATTTAACATCCATAAAAATATATTTATATTAATGTCTCCAAAGTTCAGCAAATTTTTCGCAAAAAAAAAAAATATTTTATCAGGAAACATGCGAGTGCCATTCGATGCACCTCTCCACGATGTCGCCCGGGTTAACAAGGTCCGTGTTCGTGGGTTAGCAGAGGCTCATGTTCTAAAAATAGGCTACAGTCTCCCTTGGTTACCGGTGGCGAAAGCAGCGCCGGCTCAAGCATGGCTACTGCAATGCCCTCAACAGATGTGAGGAATCAACCTAGCCTTGGTGTTTCTGTGGCAATGCATCCACAGAACACAAAGGCTGGAAAACCACGCCAACGGATGAAATGGACAACAGAAATGAACGAGTTTATCATCCGCACTTACTACACCATCACAAGACTCGAAACAAACATGACAGCATACAGACAACAACTACACCACATATTCACACAACAATATCCTCACCTCACTGTCACCGAACAAAGGGTTGTTGATCAAAAACGAACAATTATACACAACAACCTTATCCCACAAACAACACTTGAACTTATCAAACAACAGGTTGCTGATCAAATACATCAACAGACAGAAACATTTAACATTAATGAAGATCACGTAACCTGTCAGGATAATCCAGCAACAAGCACTGATTACAGCACACACACAACAAGTACCACTAATGATACTGCAGGCACTTCCCCATCCATCACTGATAACGTAGACATAGAATTAGTTAATACGCTCTCACTTATATTTCAGGAAACACTCATTAAATATACTGGTACAGATCCCACACAAAGACCACGAATACCAAAAATCAACACGTCAAAGGCAGTAGGAAAAACACTAGATTATGTAAACACTCACTTACTACCAAACTACATTCATTCAATTTCTACACTCTCAGACATTCATACATTAGTTTATGCTGGGGCAGTCACAGTAGTAACACACCATGGACTGAAAATACACTCACAGACAGACACACACAAAACACAATTCTATCACAAGCCTGCCTGGCAGAGAAGAATAGAAACACAAATAAATGACATTAGACAGCAATTAGGCAGGCTGACACAATACACTAAAAACAACATAACACCCAAATTAAAGAAACAACTCAAAAACATTTTCAAGAAAATCAAAACACACACAAAACATGAACATCACAACACACACATTACAGAATACATCGATACACTAAAACAAAAACTCGCAGCCAAAGCACGTAGACTCAAACGATACAAAACATGTACACTACGAAAACAACAAAATAAATTATTCACAAACAATGAAAAACTTTTCTACAGACAAATCAGTACCAAAACAAACACTGATACACAGCACAGTGGCACACCAACAGAAGAAGAACTCACAACTTATTGGTCTTCTCTTTGGTCCAATGCTGTTACACACAATGCTGATGCAGGCTGGATCGAGGAGGAGAACAGAAACTTGCACAACATACCAACTATGCCCTGTGCTGAAATAAACATACACGACATTCGCTACGCTGTTAACAGAACACACAACTGGAAGACACCTGGTGTAGACAACATTCACAATTTCTGGTACAAAAAGTTTACATCACTGCACCAGGAACTAGCTAAACATCTAACACACATCATCATCAATCCACAAGACATGCCAAAATTTCTTACTCGGGGCATTACCTACATGAAACCTAAAAACAACAAAACCACAGACCCCACACAATACAGACCAATTACATGTCTTCCAACACTCTACAAATTATTGACATCCTGTATCACAAACAAAATATACAAACATGTTGAAGAACACGACATTCTTACAGAACAACAAAAAGGTTGCCGTAGAAATCACAGGGGATGCAAAGAACAGTTACTCATAGATTCAATCATTCTACGGCAAGCACACAAACAACACAGAAACATACACATGGCATATATAGACTACAGAAAAGCGTTTGACAGTGTTCCACACAGTTGGCTGCTACATATTCTACACATGTACAAAATACATCCATCAATCATTGCATTCTTCCGAAACACTATGCAGCACTAAAGAACAACACTACATCTCAGGGTTAGTAACAACACTTCCATACAAACAAACGAAATATTCATTAGGCGAGGAATTTTTCAAGGAGATTCCTTGAGTCCTCTCTGGTTCTGCCTAGCTCTGAATCCATTATCCAACATATTAAACAACACGCAATATGGCTACAATATCAGACACAAAAAAACAACACATTTTATGCTGTCACATCTCATGTACATGGATGACATAAAACTTTATGCATCCACACAAAAGCAACTTCATCAACTCCTATAAATCACACATTCATACACCAAGGACATACAAATGGAGTTTGGCTTAGACAAATGCAAAACACTTCACATAGAAAAAGGAGTCCTAAAGAAAGATTTTGCACTTGGAAATGGAGATGTTATTGAATCCATGAAAGAGGGCAAGTTCTACAAGTATTTAGAATTCCAACAGGCCAAACTAACAAAACATACACAAATAAAGCAAAGATTAATTAAAGAATACTAAAGTAGGTTAAATGCTATTCTCAGAACATAGTTAAAGCAATAAACACATATGTCATCCCAGTACTCACATATTCTTTTGGAGTTATACATTGGACTCACACAGATCTTGAGCAACTCCAAAGAAAAACAAGAACAATACTTACTCAAGCATAAACATCATCATACTAAATCCTCCACAGAAAGATTAACACTTCCATGTAAGGATGGTGGCCTGATTGACATAGTTAACCTTCACTACAAACACAGTCACTGCGAGAGGTTTTTTTTACAAAAAAACAAGAAACATCACAGTTACATAAAGCAGTAACTCTAGCAAACTCAAATAACGCACCATTAAACTTACACTCATATCATATGGACAGTACACAACATATAAAAAGCATAGACACCATTAAGCAATCGTGGGCTCGAAAGGCACTCCATGGCAGGCATCCTTATGACCTGGCCCAGGATTTTGTTGACAAAACTGCATCAAACAGCTGGTTAGCTCGGGGATGTCTTTTTGGGGAGAAGGAAAGGCTTCATGATTGCCATACAGGATCAGGTCATAAATACTAAAAACTACAGAAAACACATACTCAAAGATACAGATACAACATTCACGAATGACACATGCAGAAAATGTCACATCATGGCAGAAACTATACAACACATCACTTATGGTTGCAAGCTCTTGGCACAGACAGATTACTTACATAGACACAATAAAGCAGCAAATATAATACATCAAGAGTTTGCAAAGAAACACAAATTGGTGACATTCACGAACCATACAAGTATATTCCACAGACAGTATTGGAAAACAACATGCACAAAATGTACGAAAACAGAACTGTAATCACAGATTTACCACAACAGACCAGACATCACACTCATTAACAAACACAATAAAATCACATACATTATATACACATAGCCATCCAAACACTCACAATGTACAAAACACATGCACTGAAAAAATTAGAAAGTACACAGAACTTGCCCAGGAAATAAGACATCTGTGGAGGATGGAAAGGGTGCTTATTGTACCTGTCGTTCTCTCTTGTACAGGTGTGATACCACACACACTACACAAAAGTCTGGGAACATTACAATTGAATAGAAATACATACATCACACTACAGAAGACCACTATATTGAATACATGCCATATTGTTAGGAAATTCCTGAATACAGACACTGATATACTTATTTTAGTTTTGTTTTGGTTGCTATGCCTTGACCGGTATAGTACACAGCGACCGGTGTCAACCGAGTATAACCCACTAAATCCAACATAATAATAATAATATTCTAGGGACCATTCAATATAAAATTTATTAAGTCATAAATTTGGTATAAAATTTAACATTTCTGAAAAAATCATTTATGTTGTCATATATATAAAAAAAAAAATGGTTTTGCAAATGTGAAACTGATCAGTGGAGTATTTTATTATTTTCCAAGAGAAAAAACAAATTTAATGTAATAAAATGATAATGCTTCAAATATTTCATTTTAAAATTAATTTTTAACATGTAATTCTTTATAAAATCTATAAGTTTAAATGACGAGAAAAAAAAAACATCCTCTTACCTTATCACAAATTTCCTTAACAGCACTTACAGTGGTACATTCAAAATGATTGCCACGTTTTCGATAATCAATAAGTTTCAGTTCTTGCAAACTTTTCTCCATCATTTGTTGGCTTCCTCTCATGACTTCTGGTATGCAATGCTGAAACATATGAGGAAAATCCTGTTCCAGTTTATCGACCACGGCTTCCATTAACGGTCCAACAACAATTACAGGTCTTAATGTTAAATCTAAAATACAAACACAATATGTGTCACTAAAATATAAAAAACTTAACTGAGCAGCCTGAATAGATTAATGTAAAATGATAATGAAAAACTATAACTAGAAATTTGTGTGCACTATTGCTATTTCATTATACAAATAAACTAAGATCCTAACATGTATTATATATTTAATTTGCACTGTACAGTATATGCTTTATATAGTAATAGTATTTTGATGTTAAAACCAAAATTCATTTTTATATCACAGGGTGGCTAACTCACTTCAACGAGTTTAGAACTACATATCCTGTATCCCAAGTTTGTAACTGATTGTCCAGCAATGAGAGCTTTTCCTGATGTAACCTTTATCAGGTTAAAAAGACTTTCACAAGCTTAATTAATTAAATAAATATAAATTATGAATGTTTAATAATATGAGAAAAGAACTATAGTAGTACCTTGTACTTTGAACTACTTTAAATTTGAGAGAGATTTAAATGATGCTTCTATGTTTAAACTATGTGCTCTTGCTGCATAAATGTCATCTGTCGCTCTTGCTGTGAAGCACTTAATGAATTACAATCATGTTTTATTGGTGCTTTTTTCCACTTCATTTTTAGTGTGTTTAGTTATATACAGTCGATCTCCCTATAACATGGGTTCCTATAGTTCGGATTCCTATATCACGGCGAAAAAATTGCGACAGTATTCGTACAAACATGCTAAAAAAACTCATATAATTCGGTAAAATGTCATCACTGACTCGTGTTGCGACAGGATTAGTTGAATCTAGACCAATAGCAGATATTGTACAAACCGTTGAGTTTAAACAAGCAGCGGACCTACTAAAAACCATTTATTATTTAACATCCATAAAAATATATTTATATTAATGTCTCCAAAGTTCAACAAATTTTTCGCAAAAAAAATATTTTATCAGGAAGCACGCGAGCACCATTTGACGACAAGCTCCACGACGAAAACAAGCTTAAGCAATGGCGTAGTCGAACAATGCACGCTCGGTAAGTAATCCTAAAATTTTTTGTTTATAGCATAGTTTATATGGATTATTCCCAAAAAAATTATACATATTTTGGAAATTTTGAGTCGAATTAGTCTAGAATCGATTAATTTTATGGAAGAAACCTTTCAAACAGCTGTAGTCCGTAAACTGCATATGTGCCGGGCTGTGATTGGCTGGACTCGTAGAAAATGGATTCATAAAAAGTGGAATGTATCTACTGTGTTATGGGGGGGTCGACTGTATATGACCCAACCTATTAACCACAACATCCAAGAACAGTGTGGAAGCAACAGAACCTAACAGGAAGGCTGTAGTATCGACAATTGATGTGAAAAAAGAACTTATCATAATGCCTGAAAGTGGTACACGTGGTAGATCTGGTGGCCATGTTTAAGATGCCTAAGTTGAAGGTGTGTGTAATTCTTAAGAACAAGGAAAGCAATAAATATGATAAAATGTGGCTAAAGATGTAAAAATATTGATCTTTAGGAGATTGCTAGTTATTAAGATGGTAAAACTTCTAGTGTAGATAAATGAGAAGCAATTAGGTTGGTGTTATCTCCAAGAGCATTATTTGTGAGAAAGCCAAGCAAGGTGCATAGTGACCTTAAGAAACAGGACATCAACACTCCTCATTTAGGTACAGTAGATGCAATTTTCATTTTATTATAGAGTATTTCATATTTTAATTTATTGTTTATGACATTTAATTTAAGGTAAAAATTACACAATTATGTGTATTTGCTGTTTAAGTTCATCAAAATAGGCATTGTTTAGGATCTGGATTAATTGACTTTCCATTATTTCTAATGAGAAAAATTGATTAGTGTTTGAATGGCCTTCTGAAATAAATTAAATTTGAAGCACCACTGTATTTTATAATTTACTTACAGTCTAACCGTTCCACACGTTGATAGGTCAAGGGCAACAATTCTTCACCGTGTATCCCAGAGTCACTACAACTGTTTATAGACATATCCGAAAATGATGCTAGTTCTTTACTGTCATGAGAATTGCTTCGTTGGTGGCGTTTACGTCGAAAAAAACTACGTCTCGCCGTTGTCGACCCACGTCTGCTACCATCCCCATCTAAATCTCCAAGACTACATTTCATTAAAAGTTCTTCCTCCATCCTTCAATTAAAGACAAAATACATATATATAATTATTAATATCTGCAATCAAAATTATACTGAATGACATTATTCACTATGAAAATTAAGTAAAAAATGTATTAACATTGTGGTAATCATCATAAAATATTTTGTGATTTACAGGAAATTAAAGCAAACAAATCTTTTAATTAATTATTATTTAAAACATAGAATTACTAATGATATATAATTTTAACAATAAAAATATAAATGTAATATATTTAGCCCCTTTTGTATATTATTATTATACAAGTCATAAATTTGGTATAAAATTTAACATTTCTGAAAAAATCATTTATGTTGTCATATATATAAAAAAAACTATATTACATACAAATAAAAACCCAGCGAAGTGGGTCCTTGCAGCTAGTATATATATATTATTACAGTTCCTAAATTTTTCTAAAAAGTTGATCAGAGTGGAAATGAGGTATCAATTCACACACAGAAATTTTAGAGTCATTATTCTTATGAAGAAACATAATTTAAAATATTTTAAATTATGAAAAATATGAGATGAAAACATGCAATATTCGACTATGCCAGTTAGTTCTCCAATGACTAGTGCATACTCTTCATGCTGCATAGCTGTGAACTTCCTTGGAATGATATGAGAGCAAACATGATGCATTGTGATGTAGCAAGAAATTTTTTAAATTTATGATTTATATTTAGTTACCATACATTATTTACTTTTCCTTTTTTTTTTTTATTTTGAGTTTTGGGGTTATATTAAATCTCAACACTTCCAAACCAGTATTTCATTTGCATAATTTCATATTAATATTTAAATAATGAATGGATTTGCATCCCACTAAATTAGGGTTGAAATAAGAGGGAACATTAAATGATTGTGTTTTAGCTTCCATTTTATTTTTGTAAGCATGTTCAATATGCAAACTAACAAATAGAAGAGAAGACTAATTTGCTGTATAAGTTATTGATTCATTGGTGCTAATTAACGGGTTTTCCTCTGCTCTGTTCTTTTCCCTAGTCACCAATCAATGGATTTCAAATAAATTTAATTTTGTAAATTAAGTACAGAAAAACCTCATTTAATGCTACCTTGATTAATGCTGATTTGATATAACACAGTCTGCCCAAAGCCTTAAAAAAAAAAAAAAAAAAAACTCAAATTTACACTGATTCAAATTATTGTGGCATGTCATTGATTTGTTTATAATCAGAGCTGTGGAGTCGCATAAAAATCTACCGACTCCAACTCTGACTTTTACTTACCATCCAACTCTGACTCCATTTCATATACATAACAAGTTGGTAAGTAAAAGGGAGTCAGCGGATTTTTTGATAACTCCGACTCTGGCTAAAACACCAAAACTCCAAGACTCCGACTCCGCAGCCCTGTTTATAATACAATTATTCCCAAACATGAACCAATCAGCAAAAGGTGGAAATTCGTCATAGTGCTGTACTTTCCTTAAATCTATGTTTGTTTAGTGTGATTCTGGAAAAATATATCATCACGGATGCCATGGGCAATATCGACTTTGCTTGGCAAGAATTAACTAATAAATGCATGAATGGAGTGGAAAAAGTGATGGCTGGAGGTATCCAAAAATTTTCAACAAGAAGACCTTTTGCTGTACCATTAGGTTGGCCAGACTGTCAACCTAATCACTACAGCAGGACTAGGAGATGTAGACAAGCAGTACATTCAGGAGTTACCACAGGTTTCTAGTGAGAGCGTTACCAATGACAACCTTCAAGAACTGGCAGAACATGGAATTCATGTAGAACTGGAAAATAGTGATTCTGAAAATGAAGAACCCAAAGAACTCTCTACAAATTTCCTTAATAAAAGTTTGGTAATGATAACAGAAATCATTGATCAAATTGTAGCGAATGATCCAGATTTTGAAATAAGTGTAAAAACAAGACAAGGCATTTTTGGATGCAATCTCCTGCTACAGACATTTGCTTAACGAAAGGAAAAAAAAGCAACAAATGACACTAGACTTCATTGCAAAAAAAAAAAAAAATCAAGAATTTCAAAAGAGTCAGGACCTTCATCACAAAAAATAACTTTACATTTCTGTGTGCATATGTTTGTGTTATTTAACATATTTTTATATTAATTTGCATAATAATATATCTTAAAGTAAAATCTGTTTATTTTTGGTTACGTGTTTCCTTTTCCCTATTAAATCCCTGTGTTAAAATGACCTCGTTTAATGCTGTTTCATTTAGTGCTTTGTCGTTTAGGAATGCATCCTCTGTGTTAAGGGTCTTGCTGTATATCAAACATCACAAAGCCCTATATGTACATAGAAACATAACTAAACAATCGCCTTAAATCAGCAATTCCCATCCTGTTGTATGTGTACCCCCAGAGGTACGCAGGTTGTTTAGGGGTACAGAAAAAAGTTATTATGGCAGAAAAAATAATATATTATATATCACAAATTAATAGTATTAAAAAATTATTAGGTAACAATTGTTCCTTGCAACAATCACAAACTTTATTATACATTTCAAAATGCAAAAATAGAAATAAAAATTTATGCTGCCGATTGTACAGTGCAACAGATCAATAAATGTTGCGCAGTCGGTCAATGGTAGTTGGGATACCATTATGTGTGATTAGTGATTACACTATGGACTTTTGATGGTGGGGTGTGTTACCGTTATTATTATTATCTCTCAACAATATCCCCACATGTTGTTTGAAAAAGTATTCTTTTGCTTATAAAAAGTATTTTTTATTGTTAGCAAGGAAAAGGACATAGCTAGTTTCTTTAGATTTTCTGTACAAGCAGTAATTTTTTTCATTAGTTATTCAGTATTTTTATTAATTTTTTATTGACTAAGACTGTCTTGTTTATAAAATTGTACTACCTGCTGTGTTACCAGCTTAGAGAAATGAAGGAGTACATGTCAAAAGTTGAAATTTGGCACAGAGTATTAGGTGCCCAAATCATGAACACACACAAAAAAGAAAAAACCAGGGGACCGAGAACTGAGTCAAAATAAAATTCAAAATGGCGACACTCTCTATAAACAGGTAGTGAGAGATTTGTGCATGCATTGCTCGTTGGGAAGTTGGAAATGCCATGGGGGTACACTAATGAAAAAAGTTGGGAACTGCTGCCTTAAATAATCAAGCTATAACTCTGCTAATTTAATGATTAATATTAAGTAATTTGCTACTAGAGAGAGATGTTAGGTGCCATCTCTTAACAAAATTAATACAGTAGAGCATTGTTTATCAGAAAGTCGGTTATCTGAAAGCATTCCTGTCGGCAAATTTAAATTTTCACTAGTGCTGGCGCTGCAATCTTTGGCTACTCCTTTTTTTTTTTTTATGTGTGTGTTTTAGCTGGCAGCACTGGCAGTTTTGTATGGTGTTTTTTTTTGAGGACCGTGTGTCATGCTGAATCGAACGTTTTTGATACTAGATTAACTTCTAAAGCGTAATTTTTTTTGTTTTTATATTTTTCAATATATTTATTTTGTTTGTAAGAAATAAAGAAATAATTCTTAACGATACAATAGCCATGATTATTATTTTAGAAAGTTTATATTAGGGTTAACATCGATGAAAATTCAATGCGAAGCGACATGCAATGGAGAAAAATTTCAACATGGGATTGGTTAATATATTTTTTCGTACATAATCGGTTATCTGAAAAATAAGTTATCTGAACAACCAGAGTCACCAATTGATTCAGATAAACGACACTCTACTGTAATTATAATTTTAATTCTTATTAAAATTGTACTATTCCTCATAATGCCATTCTACAGAATCATGCAAAATTTCCAGAATGTCAACCAATCTATTGATTGTCTTTGGTTTTTTTTTGATCTCTTCCCAAACTTGGGAATTATTTTTGTTTCTTGATGAAGACTGTCCTCCGTTGACTTACAGCTTTTTCTAAAATGCTTATGCCATTCATGTTCTTGTTTATGCAACATAATGTCATTACCATATGTTTCTTAAGCAGATTAAACTGAGTGAAAATTTTATAACCTGATAAATGTTTCAGTAAAGTTTTTATTAAGGTGAGATTTAGACATTTCAATTTTTTTAGAAACAACTGGAAAAAATGATCTAGAATGCTCAATGTGGGTATACAGGGTGTTTATAAATAAATGGTGTGGTTTAAAAATTAATAGTAAATCTATTTATTATTTTATATGGGCAAACCTTACAGCACAAGTAGTGGCAACTGTCCAAGATTTTTATGCATTAATCACAATCCTTCAATATGTGCACCCATGGTCACATGACACACACCTACACGGTAATCAAATTCTTCCCATACGCAGTGTAGCATGTCCTTTGTGATGGTCTGCAGTGCATGCTTTATCTGATCACACAGTTTCTCAAGGGATACGGGCATTGATAGTACATAAACTCTGTCTTTAACAAACCCCCACAAAAAGAAATTGCAGGGCATTAAATCTGGCAAACAGGATGGCCAGGGGAGCAGGTTGTTGTCTGTTGTTGCACCATGTCCAATCCAGCGTTGGTGAAGAACACAATTAAGAAGTGAAGTAAAGAGCAGGTAGTGCATAAAAAACTTAAACAGTTGCCTCTGCTTATGCTGTAAGGTTTGCCCATATAAGGTAACAAATAGATTTATTAATTTTTAAAACCGCACTATTCATTTATAAACACCCTGTATAAGTAAAGTAATTCAAAAGAACATTCACATATTATTTACTCTATCTATTCAGAAGTGGCCACAATGCAATGAAGGCTCATGATCACATTTGTTAAAACATTTGTGGGTAAACAAAGATCAACAGGCCATTAGTGCAGAAGAAGGTGAGGATCTGTGTTTATTTGGTGTCATTGTGATGAAGCTGCTTCCATCATCACTGGCACAAAAGAAATCTACTGTGAACAGATTATCTGAAGGAAGAACTTTATCCAAAAGTTAACAGAGTCCAATACCACTAAGACAATGCATAGCACACACAGTAGCAAAGATGACCTTAGAAAAGCTGGCTAGTCTGGGCTGGGAGGTTCTGCCTCATCCACTTCACAGCCCAGACTTGTAGCCAACTAATTACTATCTATTTTGCACCCTGCAGAACAGTTGCCAATATACAGTTTGACAACAATACCCTTGACACTTCAGACTTTCTTCAAAAAAAAACCCCAGACATTCCATGCTCACAGTATTGAAAGTTTGGAACAAAGACAACGAGATGTGATTGATATTGATGGGGATTACCTATCAGGTTGAACTGTAATTGTTGGGTTAATTGTCAATAAAGTGTTTTTCACAATGTCTAAATTTTACCTTTACAACCTGATAGCATTTATTCTCTGCTTGTGATGCATCACTTCAGACTTCTAACAGCTCCTACCTATATATTATAAAACTTTAGCATTTTGTGTTCTAATCATCCAAATAAAGCTAACTACCAGATATCAAACAAATACCAAAGTGTCTACAGTAACACTGCATTTGAATGGTGAAGTCAATGGAGGACTCACAGAACTTAGGTTTTGGTCACTCATTTTTGGTCTATCTTTACTCTTGTATCAATCTTGTGTTAATTGTATATCAATATAAAGAATATTATGTTAATTTTATTAAGTAATGCTATTTCAAATTGAAATTCATACTTAGAAAAATAAAAAGCCAAAGATAAAAGTTATTGAACTTACTTGTATTTACTCGGTATGTAACCACATTTCACTTTTTGTCCTTCTTGATCCACAAGCCATGCTTGCCACAATCCGGGGACACCATTATACATAGTATTATCGATAAATAAGATATCATCTTTGTGAAAAGTCAGCGATCCGTCGATTGATGGTCTGTCACACAGTGCGCGAATATAAAATGAATCACCTGCCTTATTTTGAATATCAGCGTATCCTGAAATTGTTAAATTAATAAGTTAATTAAATAATATCTGGTCTTAATAACATACAACAGAAAATGGATGCTTGAAGAAATTTTTAAAGCAGGAAACAGTTTTCTATGTTGTCTGCTTTAAACCCAGAGAGTTTTTGAGAGAAAATGTTACAGATAATCAACAAAAACTATAAGATCATTAAAAATCTTTGACTAATGAAAAAAGACTCTTAATAAATAGTAATTAAATCATTTCAATACATCTAATAATAAAACAATGGTGAAGAAAATACAAGTACTATTAAACTACAGATGAAAAATTATCTGTTATATATTTCTTTGACAAAATCTTATATCAAATCATATAGATTAAAGTATTTTCATTGTTAATAAAATTGATTTTAATATAATGTTAATAAATTTTACACCTACTTTCAACATTATGTTCAGCTAAGATTGTTATCTTGTCAGATGGTTTGGCTAATTCATAAGCCGCTTCTTCAGCTGTAGCATGACGTAGATTTACACCATTATACTATAGAATAAAAATAAAAAACATTAAAATGAACCATGTATGTATTATATATATATATATATATATATAAATAAAATCAGTCACAATACAGAGGCTACAGACAACACAGAATTATGGAAAGAGGCATGCTGGGCATTACGAGAACAGACAAAGTGAACTACCTAGATAAGAAATCAAACAAAGTTATACGATATCATTGAGCAGATCAAATGTTCAAAATGGCAATGGGCTAGACACATTGCTAGAAGAGAAGACAACAGATGGACTACAAATATCCTAGACAGGTACCTACAAGGAATCAAATTTCCAAGGCAAAGACCCCAAGTATGACGGAATGACAAAATAATGATAGTACTGGCGTAGTAAATACTAGTATTGTGTTTTATTCCAAAGACACATGGCAAGTTTCCATCAAATCCTTTATTAGTTGAGTTGAATTTTTCTGTGAAAAACAACCTTTTCAAAAAATAATTTCTGCAAGACCACAAGGTGGCAAACATCATACATGGCAACACTAAAGATACCAGCACAAATGCCAAAAAAGAAGGGATAAAAGGAGGCGGAAACAACTCAAAAATTTTTAACCATTATATTGTGTCAAAGTCTATCCGAAAGAGAAGGTTTATGGAAGTTTTTAAATTGTAATGTATACCGGTTTATCCATAAAAGGATTAAAGCAGATTTTAGAAGATTTTAAATTATACAAAGTATAACCAAAGGTACAGTAGGTCTATATATCGTTTGTGTACGCATTGTTTTTTTATGTAAGTTCTCTACTGTAATAATATTTATTTTACTGTAGTTGACTGAAGAGGGCAAAGCCCAAAATGAGTACAAAACAATGTACTGTATTGACTCAACTAATAAAGGAATTTGATGGAAAACTTGCCATGTGTCTTTGGAATAAAACACAATACTAGTGTTTACTACGCCAGAATTATAAAACAGGACAGTTTCAAAAAACAAATAAAAAAATAACGATAGTAGTCAACATAAATTGAAAAACCAAAGCATTGGACAAGAAAAAAATGGAAAACATTAGAAGAGACCTTCATCCAGCAGTGGATTGACAACAGCTGATGATGATGATGACGACGATATAATCAATCAACTGGAATAACTCAAAAAATATACATCGAAAGAATTCATTACACCAATTGTTAAGTTTATCTTGTGGCCCCTTAATCAGTGAAAATGGTGTGAGGGGCTAGCCAGGGATAGAGTTGATAGAACTTGTGTACCACTTAATTGGCAGCTAATCATGAGATTGGCCCACGGTCGTCTAAAAGGATGGTTTTAAAAGTGTTTATAAGGATCTAGATAGTGAAATCAAGATCCACATCAGGATGTTAACACCAGTTAAGAAAATTTAAAATATGCGCCCTAACTCGCATTTATGTCTAATTATAAATATCTGTGATGTTCGAGTGACAACGTCTGAATAAATTATAGGAGGGTTAACAGTGTAGCGAGTGGGAAGATGCAGGAGATCATTTGATACTAATAACAATAAATTTATTATAAACAAATTAACTGGATAAATACAATAAAATACAAATGATCAATAAAAATACAAATGACATCAGAATGCAAATAAATGGAATTATTAACGATAAAATCTAGGCCTAACCTCATGGAGATACCAGACTATCTTACAAACTATACCTATCTCACAGAGAGAGTTTACAATATTTCTAACGATTTATACTACCTTAACAATACTTCTCTTCATTCATAAATGTTAGATAAATATGAGGAGAATCTTCTAATAGAACTGGTAGTTTCGTCAAACAGGGTGTATTAGGGCCAATTCAAACTGTTAAATTTGCATGGCGAATTCTCTTCCAGGAACTGCGCTTTATGAGGCAATTACTTCTTATGGAGAACTGCCTGGATTAGTGGGAAAAAATCTCTTTTTATAGCGGCTTCTTCAGACGGCCAAGTAACGTGTGCAAAGGCCGCACTCATCTGAATCATCTTGTGAGTTGGCCATAAAAAGGAAGTTCAACTTCCCTTCATGAGGAAGTGAGCTACAGCAGTTTCCCTTCTTTGTAAAATTTTTCTCTCAATATTTTTACACAATAAAATATTTTTTAAATTTTATAATTATTAAAAATAAACGATCCCACGGATCTCACAATGGGATTAACTTCATTTTCTTAAATGGAAACCCCATTTTTTCAATTATATATTATAATTCTACATAGAAAACAAACAAACTTTTATCTGAAACATATTTTTTTTTCCCAAAATGCACTTAGTATTTACAAGCATTAAAAGTTTTATGCAGCAGTAGTGTGCACATGTCTGTGGATATCCATGAAGTTTGCCAAGAAAAAGGCAGACAACTGCTCAAAAATCGTTCGAAACGATTATTCAGTAAAATCATTCTTTTTCTTCAAATAACAAATGATACAAAACCTTGTGCCACAGTATGATGAAGAGAATAATGATCTTAGTTGTGACATTATTAGGAATTCATGGAATAAATAATAATAAATGTAAAATTAGTTATTACTGATTGTAAGCATCTGACAAAAAAAAATTTCAGTTAAAAAAAAAATGTCTGGGCTCAAAGTAACATGCATTCCAGACATGTTACTATATCTCAAAATAGAATGATCATCAATAATTAAACAAAAAACTAAAATACAGTAGAGCGTCGTTTATCCGAATCAATTGGGGACTGGGGTTGTTCGGATAACTTATTTTTTGGATAACCAATTATGTACGAAAAAATATATTAATTTATCCCGTGTTGAAATTTTTCTCTGTTGCGTGTCGCTTTGTGTTGAATTTTCGTCGATGTTAAGCCTAACAAAGACTATTGTATCGTTAAAAATTATTTTTTTATTTTGTACAAACAAAATAAATATATTGAAAAATATAAAAACAATAAAAAATTATACTTCAGAAGTTAATTTAGTATCAAAAACATAAAATATTTGAGTAGCCCAAGACATAGCCAAAGATTACAGTGCCACAGCACTGGCGAAAATTTAAATTTGTCGACTGGAATTCCTTCGGATAAATGACGCTCTACTGTATTTAAAGTTTTACAAGAAAAAAATATTTTTCAGATTTTTAAATAATTATTAAAACTCTAAATACAAAAGTCTTTTACTCAAAATAATAGTAATAATAATAATTTAACAATATCAATCTATACAAACATTAAATTTTACTTTTTTACTACAGTAAAATCTGTAAAAAGCTAGAACTTGACAAGACACTCATTTTTCCACATCAGGCAGATTTTCTGCTATTGACATGTAGTTTTACCATTTTTCTACTGCTCTGAAAATGTTTCTTTTCCCTATTATGAAATCATGTGAAGATTTACATGCATTTCGTTACAGATCTCTGCATATTGTAAAGATTTTAAATACAAATAAGTGGGGAAATTTCACTTCTTAATAAAACAGTCTAATCATTGTTTGCTTAGCTGTCTTGGTTTTTTAAATGAAATTATTCAAACAGATTTCTGAGTCTGTAGCTTTATGAAAAAATTCTTGTTCTTCTTTAGTTCTTCCAAATTAAATTCCTTTAGTCTTTAAATCAAACACAAGTTTTCAGCTACATAAAGTCATCTTTAGTTTATGAATCCACAATTTTTTTTGTATATTTTTGCATTTTTAAATATATAATTTCATTTGTATTTTCTGATAGAATTTTATTCTTTACAATGTGAAGATTTTTATCATCAATTTGGAAAAAAACATACCACCACAAAAATAAAACCTCAAAATAATAATGTAAAAGAAAATTGAAGACAGAGCCCTTCAGGATGATTTGAAATTGAATCTAATGAAAAATAATTTATTTCCTGATAGATAACATCTATACTTTCCCACATTTGAGTTACAACAGCATGGTTTCTACAATTCTGTCTATATCTCGCAGGCCATGGCTTTCAGAGAATATTTCTTAGGTTAATGTAATCATTTTATTGAAAAATATTCAAACTTTCCACCTTAGTCAAGTTCCAGTTTCTGCAGGTTTTAATAAACTGATTTATAGACATTTCTTCTATGGATTGCATCCAGAACCCAGAACAAATTTGATTTTCTTTGAACTATGCAGTTCATTTGATACATAGTGTTATTTTTATAATTTGATTTAATAGTTTACTGAAATTCAACTTAAAAAGATAAAATAATAATAGATCTCTGTTAATATTTACCTTAATATAGTCTAAATAATTAAATATACCTTAATTTTGCAAAAGAAATGTAAACTTATTTATTTATACTGCCCAAAGGCAAAAGGCTCTACCACCAAAAAAACTGAAAATAAAGTTGTGAACTTGTCATTAGTATCCTTGGTCAATTAACCCAATATTCTATGTGAGAAATGTTCTGTAATTATTTGCAGTACATTTTTCACACTTGCGAATGGGTGGTATCAAAAGATAATAATTTATGCATAATGATAAGTTTGCAGCTTTGTTTTCAATTTTGCCATTTTACCTTTGAGCAGCACAGTTTTTTTGAACAAAAATTAATATTCTATTAAATCAATTTGTCTTTATGAAATACAAAACTCTTTTAAACTATTTTTAAAATTTTATGACTGATTAATCAATTAGTTACTGTAAGACATCAGCACATTAAGCGTATACAGCTGATGACAGGTAGGCTTGATATGCAATATGATCAACCAGCATGGATGAGGGTAAAATGGAGAATGATATTGTAACTTATTCAAACAGGATTATCTAGTTGAATCCAACCGCATCCTGATATTTTAGTATTCATACAAAGCCATTTGGTCAATAAACTTCACAGGGGAGATAGAAGATATTAAATGAACATTTTTTTACATAATAATCTCCTTTTGTAAAGACAGTGGCAAAATTACAAGAATAAAATTTATCTATAAAATTTCATTTTCAATTTGTGTAAGAAAAATTTTGTAAAACAAAATTAATTTAATTTTACTTCAAAAAGCAATTTGAAGATTTCATTGAAATAAAGTTTTTCTCATTAGTTCATTAATAATTTAGCTCAGAGGCTTTGAATTCCAACATTTATGCATTTAAACTTACTTACTTAAGTGTTTCTGAATATTAGCCACAAGATTTTCATTTTTTGTAATAATTTAAAATTAACTCATTATGTTTATGTAGTAGAAGACAATAAACTTACCTCAAGAATTTGATCTCCCGGTCTGAGACCAGTTGATCCGCAAGCAGCAGGAGAATCTTCTTGAACTGAATGAACAAATATACCGACGGCATTTCCTCCCAACAAACTGATTCCCAAGTTAGATGTGGTCTTTTTTAGTACTACTACGCGCGGTACTGAACTGGACTCTGGAGAATGAGAGTTATGCATATCTTGATTTTCCATAGAATGGAGGCTGTAATAATAGAAAGATTAATATAATTTCTATAATATTACAAAATAATAATATATTTCTGAACTTTATTTGAAAAGTAATTTCAAATAATTCTAATTGTTTAATCACTGAAATTGCATTGTTAATCATATTATCTTAGAGGAAATAAACAGAAATAAAGTCTTATTCCATTCTTAATTTGTTAAGAAATAAACATAAAACAGATTCCTTCATGTGAAAAAGAATGTGATTTGCAGTCAACATGGTTTCATAGTGATAGGGATAAAAACTTATTTGAAAAACTTTATAGAAGAATTTTTTTGCACTACGATCCTCCTCCCTTCTTATCTAACTATTATATTTAGTAAATTTATGCTACATCAGTCTATAGTTTGATCATTTTGATAAATAGAAGATTGAGCTTATACTTTATATGTTCAGGTACAAGAAACATAATATTCAAAAAGAATATAAAGATTATATTATCATTGTTAATGAAAAGAAAATGTATTGTAGATTTGCATCACAATTATGAAGAAAATTATAAGTAATTAAATTAACAGTACTAAATAAGTTATGATTAGAAGGATGATTGGCTGGAAAGAGGTAATTTTTAATGATCATAAAGAAGTGACATGCTGATGAACTGCAATGATTATTATGAATATTATGAGAATTATGTCAAAAAAGACAACAACAATGAGATTTACCAAATGTAATTCAGATGATAGAAATAAATACAGGTTATTCGATAAATGAATTCTGCATACTTGTATAATTGCAACCAGTAGAGAAGTAGAAATGAGAAAAAATATGAAATTAATTAAAATTCAAGCACTAGTCAAAAGAGATTATTATTAAACTGTGAGACTATTTCTTAACAAGCTTTATAAATATTTAACTAAAGCATAAAAATAATAGAGAAGTTAATAAAACTAAGCAAAAACAAGTAACATAAGCTGCTCTATTGCTTTATATTTTAAACAATTATTTTTTCTGAAAGTTTAATACAGTTTAAAAATATTAATCTAAATGTTTGCAAATATTGTTAGTTATGATATGAAATTCACTGAAATATTGTAATAGTGTGTGTTTTTTTAAGCAATTCATCATTTAGTGTTGAAAAATATAAATTTATTAGTTAAATTAATTTTATTATAGTTGCTAACTGAATTTTGGACCAGTGTTTTAAAGTTATTTGGTAATCAAACAGGTTTATTCTTAAATAACTGGTATGATGGTCATATTGTAAAAGAACAAATTTACCACATAGGAGATGCCTTCGGTTTAGTCAAAGTTGAATTAGTAGAACTAGATATTTCTTCAGTCGAAACATTTACTGTAGTAGTCATATTACAAGACGTAAGAGAAACTGCTGGTGTTTGTGTAGGTGATATTTCTGCACTCGAACTGTCTGTTTCTGGAATTTCTTGAAATTCTATTAATATGACAAAAATGTAAATAGAAATTTAAACTCTACTCTTTAATTAATAAAATGTAATATGGAAATGGATTATGTATACTACAGATCAATATTAAATTCATATAATTGAAGAAGATATCTTCTTGATTTTCTTAATTAAAAGAAAAAATTACTATTACAGTAGAGCATCGATTATCCAATCCCCCCGATCAACCGTCACATCGGTTAACCGACTGCGTTCTAGTCGGTAAATTCAAATGTCCACTAGTAATGTGAAGCTACAATATTTAACTATGTCTTGGCTACTTTAATATTATTTTTGTTAAATTTTATCGTGTTTTAGCTGGCAACACTGGCTCGACCATAAAAGGGAGGCCAGTATTTAAACAAGACTTAATTTTCTAATTATGAGTGATTGTTTGTTTTGTGAGCAATAAAATTATTTGAAAATAATTTTTAACGATACAATAGCAACGATTATTATTTTAAAAAAAAATTTTGTTAGGCTTAACATCGATGAAAATTCAACACGAAGTAGGTTAATAGCGATATATTAACCTGTCCTATGTTGATCCCAAAAATTTTCGGGTTGACCTCATTGACCTGCGTGGGCGATCCTGAATATTTCTGTGTTTACAGTGGAACGTTTTTGATACTAGATGTCGCTTCAAGTCATAATTTTTATATTAAAACGAACTTTTAAAATAAAATTTTTTTTGTTTTTAGATTATTCAATATATATATTTTGTTTGTGAAACATAAAAAAATAATTTTTTATGATACAGTAAACACGATTTTTATTTTTAAAAAAAAATTAGGCTTAACATCGACGAAAATTCAACATGGCATCACACGCGACAAATAAAAATTTCAACAACGAATAGGTTAATATACTATACTAATAATGTACTTTTTCATATTTTTCAGTTATCCGACCAATCCCAGTCCCTAATTGAGTCAGATAATCGATGCTCTACTGTACTTATAAAATTTAAATATTAATTAACACACAGAACTAAAGTAATTTTCATAGAAAATGGTTATTGGCAACAATTAATTTAGTTTGTGATTGTTCTTTACATTGCAAAAGAGAAAGACCATTTCAACTTTTATTTTTTGATCTATAAAACAATGTATTTATTTTAATTTATAGAGTATTAATTCAAAGCTAAAGGAAAATATAAGAAATTTATAGTTAAAGTTTTAATTTAAAACCAATATTTATCTGAAACAGAAGGATACTTCTGATTCCAGAAACAATTTCTTACTTAAGGTATAAAAAAATAACACAGTTAAATTGCCATTTGGTACCATTATTTGTTCATCTTTAGTACACATTTGATTTAATCGTGTATTAAATTGAAGTATTCAAACAATAAGAATTATTTATAGTAACAAAGTCTCAAATTAACTCAAATTCACACAAATTTGAGAGTTTGTCATCATGTAATCATGCAACTGTCAATGTTGTTTGCAAAACAAAGTGATATATTTAGTAATTCATAGATACCAAAAACGTTCTCTAATATTTATGGAGATACATTCACAAGTATTCATTTACACTTTAGAAGGTTGGTATTGCTTAGGATTGAACTGTATTAGGGATTAACTCTGTGTGTTTTCTGAACAACATAAACACAATAATTATACAAAAAAAAATAACAAAAAATAAATTTAAATATTAATACAATTATAAATAAGTTAATTATCTAAGTTTATCTAATTGCAATTTAATATAATAAAAATCTTCAAATTTTTCCAACTTTAAAATGTATGAATTTGAAATTTAAATCACTTTATTAGTTACAAAATTAATGCAAGAACTTACTGTCAGGGTTATACTGTACAAGTATAGATACAGTATCTCCACATTGACGAAGAACATTTGCTGCTAAACAATAATTTGCATTGCGCATGTTGATACCACATACCTGTAAAAAATTTAAATATTTTTATTGTTAAATGATAATTATTGTAAAAATGGTAAATACGTTTAACAAATGAAAAATGTAGACTAAAAATAATGTAAAAACTTACTTCTAATAATTGATCGCCAACTTGCAAACCTGCTTGAGCCGCTAAACTTTTGTCGTGAACTGATGAAACAAAAACGCTGTTTCCGCCCAATCCACAAATTATTTGAATTCCAAGAGGTTCTGAACACTTATCTATTTCAATTCTTCTTAAATCTCCTGGTTTAGGTCTAAGTAAATAAATAATTCAGTATGAATTTCATTATTTATATTTTTAATTTTCAGACAATTCTTTAATGTATATTAATAGAGAGATGATCAGATGTAAAAGTTTCTTAAATTTGCTTTTATACAATTAAGTTAATATCAAAGTACAATAATGATTTATAAGCAAATCTTGATCTTGATTAATGGAAATTAGCTTATGTTATTTCTTGTAGCTGAAATTTACTTCATTCCTACATAACTCAGTCATAATAAAATAAAAATATCTGAAAATTACTTTCAGATGAAATAATAAATTTACACCTCGCTACAAGCAAATGATAATTAAAGCTAAAATGAAAATAAAAAGATGAAAGTTTCTGATGTTAGAATTTAATTTAAACTGTTTAATAGCCTGCTTTTATTGGCAGTTTTAATTAAGCTTTTTCAACCCGGATACGGGATTATATATATTCTATGGAAATGATGCAAGACATTATTAATCAAAATTTGTTTTATTTAGAGAAAACAATATATGGGTATGCTTTGCATAGTGAACATAATAGATTTATTTTATTTCCTTTTCTTTTGAAGCATATTATTAAGTTTTATATGAGATTAATATATGTGGATAACCAGATTATCATAATGATCTTGGAACGCCATCACCACCAGTTAAAGAGCAACTTTGTACCAAAGCATGGCTAAGCAAGCTTCAGAATACATTATAGTTATACAGAACTGTTTTGGAAATATTTGAAGAACAAAGACAATTAGAATTTAAATTATGAAATTTTTGTATGAGCAGGCCTCAGAGTACCATTTTCCCTCTGAAAAACTGAGTTGAAATACAGAAAAAATGAGTAAGTGTAATAGTAACAAAACAAAATGAAAACATGGAAGGAAAACTAAACAAAATAGCAGTAAAAGTTGTTTTTTTTTTACTGTTATGGTTAAATACATTTTAAAACTTTCTGTATATACTGTAATATTTCCAGTAAACATGAATACTTAATAAGTCTTCGGCTTCTTCTGTAAATAATCAGTCTTGAAAGATGATGTTCTTTTATTAAGATTTTTCTGGATGCTTTCAGCTTCCTTTTTTTTTTTTTTTTTTTTTTTTTTTTTTTTTTTTTTTTTTTTTTTTTTTTTTTTTTTTTTTTTTTTTTTTTTTTTTTTTTTTTTTTTTTTTTTTTTTTTTTTTTTTTTTTTTTTTTTTTTTTTTTTTTTTTTTTTTTTTTTTTTTTTTTTTTTTTTTTTTTTTTTTTTTTTTTTTTTTTTTTTTTTTTTTTTTTTTTTTTTTTTTTTTTTTTTTTTTTTTTTTTTTTTTTTTTTTTTTTTTTTTTTTTTTTTTTTTTTTTTTTTTTTTTTTTTTTTTTTTTTTTTTTTTTTTTTTTTTTTTTTTTTTTTTTTTTTTTTTTTTTTTTTTTTTTTTTTTTTTTTTTTTTTTTTTTTTTTTTTTTTTTTTTTTTTTTTTTTTTTTTTTTTTTTTTTTTTTTTTTTTTTTTTTTTTTTTTTTTTTTTTTTTTTTTTTTTTTTTTTTTTTTTTTTTTTTTTTTTTTTTTTTTTTTTTTTTTTTTTTTTTTTTTTTTTTTTTTTTTTTTTTTTTTTTTTTTTTTTTTTTTTTTTTTTTTTTTTTTTTTTTTTTTTTTTTTTTTTTTTTTTTTTTTTTTTTTTTTTTTTTTTTTTTTTTTTTTTTTTTTTTTTTTTTTTTTTTTTTTTTTTTTTTTTTTTTTTTTTTTTTTTTTTTTTTTTTTTTTTTTTTTTTTTTTTTTTTTTTTTTTTTTTTTTTTTTTTTTTTTTTTTTTTTTTTTTTTTTTTTTTTTTTTTTTTTTTTTTTTTTTTTTTTTTTTTTTTTTTTTTTTTTTTTTTTTTTTTTTTTTTTTTTTTTTTTTTTTTTTTTTTTTTTTTTTTTTTTTTTTTTTTTTTTTTTTTTTTTTTTTTTTTTTTTTTTTTTTTTTTTTTTTTTTTTTTTTTTTTTTTTTTTTTTTTTTTTTTTTTTTTTTTTTTTTTTTTTTTTTTTTTTTTTTTTTTTTTTTTTTTTTTTTTTTTTTTTTTTTTTTTTTTTTTTTTTTTTTTTTTTTTTTTTTTTTTTTTTTTTTTTTTTTTTTTTTTTTTTTTTTTTTTTTTTTTTTTTTTTTTTTTTTTTTTTTTTTTTTTTTTTTTTTTTTTTTTTTTTTTTTTTTTTTTTTTTTTTTTTTTTTTTTTTTTTTTTTTTTTTTTTTTTTTTTTTTTTTTTTTTTTTTTTTTTTTTTTTTTTTTTTTTTTTTTTTTTTTTTTTTTTTTTTTTTTTTTTTTTTTTTTTTTTTTTTTTTTTTTTTTTTTTTTTTTTTTTTTTTTTTTTTTTTTTTTTTTTTTTTTTTTTTTTTTTTTTTTTTTTTTTTTTTTTTTTTTTTTTTTTTTTTTTTTTTTTTTTTTTTTTTTTTTTTTTTTTTTTTTTTTTTTTTTTTTTTTTTTTTTTTTTTTTTTTTTTTTTTTTTTTTTTTTTTTTTTTTTTTTTTTTTTTTTTTTTTTTTTTTTTTTTTTTTTTTTTTTTTTTTTTTTTTTTTTTTTTTTTTTTTTTTTTTTTTTTTTTTTTTTTTTTTTTTTTTTTTTTTTTTTTTTTTTTTTTTTTTTTTTTTTTTTTTTTTTTTTTTTTTTTTTTTTTTTTTTTTTTTTTTTTTTTTTTTTTTTTTTTTTTTTTTTTTTTTTTTTTTTTTTTTTTTTTTTTTTTTTTTTTTTTTTTTTTTTTTTTTTTTTTTTTTTTTTTTTTTTTTTTTTTTTTTTTTTTTTTTTTTTTTTTTTTTTTTTTTTTTTTTTTTTTTTTTTTTTTTTTTTTTTTTTTTTTTTTTTTTTTTTTTTTTTTTTTTTTTTTTTTTTTTTTTTTTTTTTTTTTTTTTTTTTTTTTTTTTTTTTTTTTTTTTTTTTTTTTTTTTTTTTTTTTTTTTTTTTTTTTTTTTTTTTTTTTTTTTTTTTTTTTTTTTTTTTTTTTTTTTTTTTTTTTTTTTTTTTTTTTTTTTTTTTTTTTTTTTTTTTTTTTTTTTTTTTTTTTTTTTTTTTTTTTTTTTTTTTTTTTTTTTTTTTTTTTTTTTTTTTTTTTTTTTTTTTTTTTTTTTTTTTTTTTTTTTTTTTTTTTTTTTTTTTTTTTTTTTTTTTTTTTTTTTTTTTTTTTTTTTTTTTTTTTTTTTTTTTTTTTTTTTTTTTTTTTTTTTTTTTTTTTTTTTTTTTTTTTTTTTTTTTTTTTTTTTTTTTTTTTTTTTTTTTTTTTTTTTTTTTTTTTTTTTTTTTTTTTTTTTTTTTTTTTTTTTTTTTTTTTTTTTTTTTTTTTTTTTTTTTTTTTTTTTTTTTTTTTTTTTTTTTTTTTTTTTTTTTTTTTTTTTTTTTTTTTTTTTTTTTTTTTTTTTTTTTTTTTTTTTTTTTTTTTTTTTTTTTTTTTTTTTTTTTTTTTTTTTTTTTTTTTTTTTTTTTTTTTTTTTTTTTTTTTTTTTTTTTTTTTTTTTTTTTTTTTTTTTTTTTTTTTTTTTTTTTTTTTTTTTTTTTTTTTTTTTTTTTTTTTTTTTTTTTTTTTTTTTTTTTTTTTTTTTTTTTTTTTTTTTTTTTTTTTTTTTTTTTTTTTTTTTTTTTTTTTTTTTTTTTTTTTTTTTTTTTTTTTTTTTTTTTTTTTTTTTTTTTTTTTTTTTTTTTTTTTTTTTTTTTTTTTTTTTTTTTTTTTTTTTTTTTTTTTTTTTTTTTTTTTTTTTTTTTTTTTTTTTTTTTTTTTTTTTTTTTTTTTTTTTTTTTTTTTTTTTTTTTTTTTTTTTTTTTTTTTTTTTTTTTTTTTTTTTTTTTTTTTTTTTTTTTTTTTTTTTTTTTTTTTTTTTTTTTTTTTTTTTTTTTTTTTTTTTTTTTTTTTTTTTTTTTTTTTTTTTTTTTTTTTTTTTTTTTTTTTTTTTTTTTTTTTTTTTTTTTTTTTTTTTTTTTTTTTTTTTTTTTTTTTTTTTTTTTTTTTTTTTTTTTTTTTTTTTTTTTTTTTTTTTTTTTTTTTTTTTTTTTTTTTTTTTTTTTTTTTTTTTTTTTTTTTTTTTTTTTTTTTTTTTTTTTTTTTTTTTTTTTTTTTTTTTTTTTTTTTTTTTTTTTTTTTTTTTTTTTTTTTTTTTTTTTTTTTTTTTTTTTTTTTTTTTTTTTTTTTTTTTTTTTTTTTTTTTTTTTTTTTTTTTTTTTTTTTTTTTTTTTTTTTTTTTTTTTTTTTTTTTTTTTTTTTTTTTTTTTTTTTTTTTTTTTTTTTTTTTTTTTTTTTTTTTTTTTTTTTTTTTTTTTTTTTTTTTTTTTTTTTTTTTTTTTTTTTTTTTTTTTTTTTTTTTTTTTTTTTTTTTTTTTTTTTTTTTTTTTTTTTTTTTTTTTTTTTTTTTTTTTTTTTTTTTTTTTTTTTTTTTTTTTTTTTTTTTTTTTTTTTTTTTTTTTTTTTTTTTTTTTTTTTTTTTTTTTTTTTTTTTTTTTTTTTTTTTTTTTTTTTTTTTTTTTTTTTTTTTTTTTTTTTTTTTTTTTTTTTTTTTTTTTTTTTTTTTTTTTTTTTTTTTTTTTTTTTTTTTTTTTTTTTTTTTTTTTTTTTTTTTTTTTTTTTTTTTTTTTTTTTTTTTTTTTTTTTTTTTTTTTTTTTTTTTTTTTTTTTTTTTTTTTTTTTTTTTTTTTTTTTTTTTTTTTTTTTTTTTTTTTTTTTTTTTTTTTTTTTTTTTTTTTTTTTTTTTTTTTTTTTTTTTTTTTTTTTTTTTTTTTTNACACGCATTATGGCTACAATATCAGACATGAAAAAACAACACAGTTTACACTGTCACATCTCATGTACATGGATGACATAAAACTTTATGCATCCACACAAAAACAACTTCATCAACTCCTATAAATCACACATTCATACACCAAGGACATACAAATGGAGCTTGGCTTAGACAAATGCAAAACACTTCACATAGAAAAAGGAGTCCTAAAGAAAGATTTTGCACTTGGAAATGGAGATGTTATTGAATCCATGAAAGAGGGCAAGTTCTACAGGTATTTAGAATTCCAACAGGCCAAACTAACAAAACATACACAAATAAAGCAAAGATTAACTAAAGAATACTAAAGTAGGTTAAATGCTATTCTCAGAACATAGTTAAAGCAATAAACACACATGTCATCCCAGTACTCACATATTCTTTTGGAGTTATACATTGGACTCACAGATCTTGAGCAACTCAGGAAAACAAGAACAATACTTACTAAGCATAAACATCATCATACTAAATCCTCCACAGAAAGATTAACCCTTCCTTGTAAGGATGGTGGACATGACCTGATTGACATAGTTAACCTTCACTACAAACACAGTCACTGCGAGAGGTTTTTTTTACAAAAAGACAAGAAACATCACAGTTACATAAAGCAGTAACTCTAGCAGACTCAAATAACACCATTAAACTTATATCATATGGACATGACAACACACAAAAAGCATAGACACCATTAACATGTTAACTGCTTGTTGTAATATGATACTTTCCGTCAGGGGGCGGCCAAAAAATGAAAATTTGATATCTAATAATTGATTATAACGTAAATAAATGGGTCGATGTACAACAGTCAGGAGAGCGATGATAAGAAAAATATATATAAACAAAGACCGGAGAGTCGTATGACCTTGAACCTGACACTGCTTTCTCCCAGGCAATAAATTTTACAACCCCACTGTAATTAGACATCCTTCCCTACTTAAAAGTATTTACATCTGTGTGTTAAAGTATTTCACACTTTGTTTCGACTGCAAATGATGGTTTTTTTCTGTAAATATATATTAAAACGCACTTATATACAGTCGACCCCCCTATAACGTACGTTCCTATAACGACAATTCCTATAACGTAGTGAAAAAATTGTAGAAACTTTCGTATAACGTACCTCCTATAACGTCGTTTCGCGAGAAGATTGATAGAGTCTGGACCAATAGTGGATNGAGTGTTTGGAATGGCTATGTCTATAATGTATGTGATTTTATTGTGTTTGTCAATGAGTGTGATTTCTGGTCTGTTGTGGTAAATTGTTTTATCTGTGATTATGGCTCTGTCGTAGTACATTTTGTGCATGTTCTTTTTAATACTGTCCGTGGAATGTATTTGTAGTATGGTTTGTGGATGTCTAATAATTTGTATTGCATTTGTATTGTATTTGTTTGCAAACTCTTGGTGTATTATATTTGCTACTTGATTATATCTGTGTAAATAATCTGTCTGTGCCAAGAGCTTGCAACCAGAAGTGGTGTGTTGTATAGTTTCTGCCATGATGTGACATTTTCTGCATGTGTCATTCGTGAATGTTGTATCTGTATCTTTATATGTATTTTCTGTAGTTTTTAGTATTTATGACCTGATCCTGTATGGCAATCATGAAGCCTTTCCTTCTCCCTAAAAAGGCATCCCTGAGCTAACCAGCTGTTTGATGCAGTTTTGTCAACAAAATCCTGGGCCAGATCATAAGGATGCCTGCCATGGAGTGCCTTTCGAGCCCACGATTGCTTAATGGTGTCTATGCTTTTTATATGTTGCGTAGTATCCATATGATATGAGCATAAGTTTAATGGTGTGTTATTTGAGTTTGCTAGAATTACTGCTTTATGTAACTGTGATGTTTCTTGTTTTTTGTAGAAAAATAGATTTAGTTAATACAATCTCACTTATATGTCTATGTTATCAGTGGTGGATGAGGAAGTGTCTGTAGTATCATTAGTGGTAGTTGTTGTGTGTGTGCTGTAATCACTGCTTGTTGCTGGATTATCCTGACAGGTTATGTGATCTTCATTAATGTTAAATGTTTCTGTCTGTTGATGTATTTGATCAGCAACCTGTTGTTTGATAAGTTCAAGTGTTGTTTATGGGATAAGGTTGTTGTGTATAATTGTTCTTTTTTGATCATCAACTGTTTGTTCGGTGACAATGAGGTGAGGATATTGTTATGTGAATCTATGGTGTAGTTGTTGTCTGTATGCTGTCATGTTTGTTTCGAGTCTCATGATGGTGTAGTAAGTATGGATGATAAACTTGTTCATTTCTATTGTCCATTTCATCCGTTGGCGTGGTTTTCCAGCCTTTGTGATCTGTGGGTGCATTGCCACAGAAACACAAGGATTAGATTGATTCCTCACTTCTGTTGAGGGCATCGGTAATCAAGAGAGACTGTGGCCTATTTTTTGAACATGAGTCTCTGCCTAACTCATGAATGTGGATTTTGTTAACCTGGGCGACGTCTGAGCCGGTATCACACTTAGATCTGGTTACTACCATGATAAACATCTTCCCAGAATGTGGGTGTGTGGTCACTCTTACCTTCACTTCTTCCCATAGACTTCACTGGCATGGGTGTCCCTACCAGGAGCTTGTGCTCCAGCCTACATTGCCCTATGGATCAGTAAAATTACTGGGCTCTCTCACCATGACCAGGTGGTGACCATGGAAGAGATTATTATTATTATTGTGATGTTGATGGAGTGTGTCTTACACAACATATATACTAATGTCTAGTGCTATGCTGGACCAAGGTCAAGCATTAATTATTACATATTTACAATCTATCAAATGAAAAATGAACTTTCCAAAATGGTTTTTGATAAGTGATTTGTCAGTCTTGTTGATGATTAAAACACACGACTCAATAGTTGTAAGGATAATATGAAAAAAACAAGAATTTATTGCCCTAATATTCATTACAATGCATGTTGTATTCAGATATAACAACATACATTCTAAGAATCATGTGCTTGATATTTATGTTTTTAATGTTTGAATCTACTTTTACAATGATTTTTAATGCCCAAATGAGTACAATAATTTTCTGAATGCTGTATGTTAAATAACTTTGGTTTTTGTGTGTTCTCAATTTATTCAACCAATTCCAGGATCATTAACTATGAAAATTAAGTATATCTGCTAAAGTTAAAAAAAAATCTGCTTTAATAAAATGCGTTAAATTAAAAAAAAAAAAAAAAAAAAAGGAAACTTACAGATAACAGACGATCACCAACAGCAACTGTTCCCTCCCTTGCTGCCACAGATCCTGGTGTAATTCTACTCACATATACACCTGTTCACAGATTAAAAATTTTAAATAATTGAAACATATCTTAATTATACAAAATTTAAAAAACTTTTTCACTAAAATGTAACTTGTCAATAATGCTTAGTATATANGTGCAATAATTTCATTTACTTCTACCTCCAATATTCAGAATAATTTTGTTAAATTAACATTTAAAATGAGTGAAATCAAATATATTTAATCATGAGGTTTATAATACTTTATATTGAAAAGCTGAAATGAAATATTATATGTTCATTTAACTAATTTTCAATTTAAAATTTTGTAAATTATGTATTTTTTAAAATATATTTAGTGCATTTTTAAATATTCTTGCAGGTAACTTCATTTTATTGCAATCAAGATTTTAAGCAAATGAAACTAATCTAGACTAAAGCTGATTTTCAATAAAATCTAAAATATTACATACAAATATTTACAACAAACCAAATTTAATAAATGCTTATATAATTAACTAATAAATGAATTTCACTTATTTTCATTAATAATTTAAAAATTAAAATATATCAATTGTGAATCATATTTACCAGGTTCCAAGATTAATCCGTGATTTTTTCCTCCATTTAAATTGAGCAAAACCGTCTGCACTCCTCTACTGCTTGTTAATCGTCGTCTTTTTATTAACTGTATAAAAATATCATTATAAATTACCTCTCATAATAATAATATATTATTTTCATTCTAATATAGAATGTTACATCTATAATTACACTATTATAAATTACAATTACACTTTATATTCCTTTAAAATTTAGTTTCACATTAAGCATTGAGCAAATATGAAAGCTGTTTTAGTGGCTTACAGATGTGTATACAGTCGACCCCCATAACACGGGTTCCTATAGTTCGGATTCCTATATCACAGCAAAAAAATTGCGACAGTATTCGTACAAACGTGCTAAAAAAAACTCATATAATTCGGTAAAATGTCATCGCCAACTTGTGTCACGACATGATTGGTCAAATCTAGACCAATAGTGGATATTGTATAAACTGTTGAGTTTAAACAAGCAGTGGACCTACTAAAAACCATTTATTATTTAATGTCCATAAAAATATATTTATATTAATGATGTCTCTGAAGTTCAGTGAATTTTTCGCAAAAAAAATAATTTATCAGGAAGCACACGAGTGCCATTCGATGACAAGCTCCACGACGAAAACAAGGTTAAGCAATGGCGTAGTCGAACAATGCACGCTCGGTAAGTAATCCTACAATTTTTTGTTTATAGCATAGTTTATATGGATTATTCCCAAAAAATTATACGTGTTTTGGAAATGTTGAGTCAAATTAGTCTAGAATCAATTAATTTTATGGAAGAAACCTTTCAAACAGCTGTAATCCGTAAACTGCATACGTGCCGGGCTGTGATTGGCTGGACTCGCAGAAAATGGATTCATAAAAACTGGAGCGTATCTATCATGTTATAGGGGGGGTCGACTGTACACTAATTTATATTAAATGTGTCATTAGAATAAGTCAACATCCCCACTTGTTTTAATAACTTTTAGATTTAGTTCTTTCAACCAATTTAACTGTCAACTACTCAGATACAAATTAGATTCCTTTTGATCATAGTGCAATCTGTAAAGACATTTACTTTCCATTTGCATTCCCAATTGGAAAATCAGTTTATTTCCACCAGAAAAATATTGATTGGATATTTTTAATTAAGAAAAATTTTCTTTGCCAAAGAATTATGATATAATCTATGATATTTTTGACTCTGCTATTAAATTATATCTCCTGTATCATAAAATAAATCTTTACTCTAAACCATAGCTTAATAAAACACTTAGGATACTTCAAAACTTAATAAGACCATTATTGAAGGTGCTGGAAACTTATGATTTGCATCTGAATCATAGTATTCAAAAACAGTTTTACAAATCTTGTTTGCAAAACTTTGATCTTTAGTTCAGTAACATTGTTCAGTCTATACCACATGATTTGCCTAGTTTCTGGCTATTTATGCCTATATTTACTAACAGGGCAAAGAGATGCCATTTTTATTTCACTCTTAATTGTATATTGTATTTCTGACAAATCAGCATACAGCAAGTCCTCACTTAATGTCATCGATATGTTCTTGAAAACTGCAACATTAAATGAAAATAACTTATAATGGAAACCAATTTTACCATAGGTAATTGATAATTCATGCTAATCCAAACTCTTGCCATAATTAATTGGGCTATTATTATGCTATAATTAATAATTAAAAACAAAGTAATTTGGTACTAGAGATAGCCATTATATAGTTCAAAGAAGAGATGGCACCTAATATTTATCTCTAGTACCAAATTATTTAGTTTCTAATTATTAATTATGGCACAATAATAGCCCAATTAATTATGACAAGAGTTCGGATTAGTATCAATACATCAGGTTTCAGGATGTTGATATATATAATATAATTTGGTTGTTATTATTCAAGCAGACATTCCATACAAGATGTATGACCTCTCAATCAATTTTAATGTTTATAAATGTTATATGAGAGACAATTGAAGAAAGATACAAGTAATAATTTATGTTATAATGAAACAGCATTAAACTTAAATATAGCATGTGGATGGAATATAAAATGAATTTGAATAAAAACGATGTTCTAAAAATATACGGTAATAACAAGTGGTGTAATTTCCCAAGATTACACCACTCGTTATTACCATATATTTTTAGAGCATTGTTTTTATTCAAATACAACATTAAACAAAATGATGTTAAGTGAGGACTTACCGTATTCTATTTATCAAGCTTCAAGCTTGCAAAAAATGTTTTACAAATAATAATCCTAATCAATTTTAGCTCTGTTGATTTAATGATTTTTTGTTTTCTAATATTAATGATGTTATTTTCCACCTTAATCCAACATCATCTAGGCCAGATAACACTGTTGCTGTTTGTTTATTTATTTACCAAAATATATTGCTCTCTTAGCCTTTGCCATTTCTTCTTTCATCTTTAAATTAAAAATGGCAGAATTGTTTTGTCATTGCATGATCATATTTTATAAAGGAATAACAATGAAAAATGATAAATAATTCTTATTCAATTACAACAGCATCAGCAACACAAAGTCTTTGAAGTATGTTTTTACAACTCACCATTTAATTAGAAGATAAACTCATTAATTAAGCATTATTACCATATTTAAGTAAACTGATCAAAATTTAATGATATAAAACTCAAGATATATTTACTGAAATAATATTTTTTAAATTTTCAAACAGTTCATAACTGTCTCATAAAAATAAATATTTCAAATGTAAGAAACTCAAAGGCAGTTAAAAAAACCCAGGAGATTTATTTGGATTAAACACTATTTTGGGATTTTCAATCCCATCTGAAGATGGGATTGAAAGTCCCAGCATTGAGGGATTCAAACAGAACAACTGTTGGTTGCATTCAAAAAATTTTGTGCAAACAAAAAAATTATAAATTTAAACATCTTTAAAAAAATATATTAACAGATATTTTTTAAAATTATGAACATGTGGCTATGAACTGCATTATTGGAAATGTTTCCTGGAAAGATTGGTAACAGTGGTTCTGCTCTGGGGTTGCCATCTGCAGTTGTCAATAGGCATTTCCACCTTCCCTCCTGTGACCTTAAACCTCCAGTGATGCCTGAGGTGTGGTATTAGCAAGCTACTGCATCTACCCCTGCAGTTTTACTCTGTCCTGTGTGTTCTCCTACCCTTCTTTCTTCTTAAATTGGTACTGCCAAGGCTCTCTTTGTTCTCATTAGCCTTTGGTCAGCACCTTAGTAGCAAATGTGCAGAGCATATTATATAGCCCACTTGCAGTGCATCTGCAGGTGATTGTGTGTAGTAGTAATAAAAAATTTGGTAAACAGGTCAATCCCAGCACCTATTTCATATTTTAAATTTAAGTTTAAACTATAAATTATCTTAGCTTTAAGTATTAGTTATAAGTTTATTTGAAGCGTGTCTGGTGACTGACTCCAGAATTCCCCTATTAGCTGTTGTTTAAGAACTTCTCCTCTTTTATTTAATTGCTTCTCTTCTTCACTTACTAGTGTAGATAGTAGAGTATTCACTGTACTGGTAGTTGGCACTTCTGGCCTGGCTATATGGAGTTTTCTGAGTTTCCTCCACAAGTTCATACCTGAATGGGAGCCAGCTTTCCTAGAAGCCCTCCTGGAAGCAAGTTCCTGGCAATAGCTATTATGTTGTAGCAAGCTATGTTTTTTTCAAAGTTCTTTATTCCAAATTGCTGGAGTTGGTCATCAGTGGTTTCTGCACTCCTACAGACACTCTTCTATGGCTTTGGATAAACCAGAAGTTCACAAACGTCTTAAAACATCATTCTGGTTAGAATAAGTTGTCTTTCACCTTAATATAATTAAAATAACACTAAAGAATAACATACTAAATAACACTCCAAATACTCAACATACACAACACCAATCACTTACCAAACATGACATCAAAAATTGTTAGAGCAAACAAAATGTTAAACTCACAACACACAGATGACTGAAAACACTGTTACAATGACCACTCAAAGAGCAAGCTAGCAGTCCTACATGGGCTTTATTAATACATACACAAATATACATTATAGGCCTCAGTTCTTTCAGAGTTGAAAGAGGTCCATGGGCTCCCTCAGAACTGCCTCACAATAATAATAAAAAATATATAACAATAAATTAAAATATGTTAATATATATTTAAATGTTTGCATTTGTAATTATTTTTTAACTCCTTTAATTGCTTTTGAGTTTTTGAGTTTCTTTTCTTAAATTTTATACCCATAGAGTAGTCTGTTCCAGATTTGAGTTTTACTAAGTATTTTTCTCTTAACTTCAGATTTTTTAAATTTACAATTCAATTTTTACAATTCTATAACATTGTATTGATAAATTTATTAACCAACTATATTTTAATACTATTTTAATGATTTCAATAAGTAAATTATTACTAAATAATTGAAATCTATTATAAAATCAAATTAACCAGTACTTTTAGAAAGATATTCATAAGTACCTGCTTAAATTTTGATATGTATTTTATTTATATCACCTATAAACATAATAACATTACATGCTACATGATAAATAATTAAAAAACAGGGAGATTACTTGTATATGGCAATGTGACACATGGCTGATCTGCCAAGGGGGATGCTTCCAGAGGATTTTCTATAGAAAACTGACCCCTATTTAGATGTTACAAATGTGAAGAAAACCTAAAAAACTCCACATGGCTAGCCAATTGGCCAGGTGCAAATGCACAACCAGCTACTAGCATTCAGTGGTTTTATCCACTCAGCCACTGGTGGGTTCAATTAGAGAAGATCAAGAAAATTTCAGTTAATATCGTGCTTAAATTTTTTGACTAACAGTGTGTAAATTTGTCAATATTTTCATTTTTGAAATTTGATTCAAGATTCATTAAAGATACAAAGAACATTTGTGTTTTTCCTCTAAAATTTTAAAACTGCCTATTCATAAGACAACTTTATTAATGTATATAAATAATTACATATTAGTAACTTTTATAAAAATATTATTTGAAATTGAACTCTCTTTTCTTATTCACTTTCTTTCATTAGTCTTAATGTATTGTAATATGTATGAAGAAGTTTTACCAAGTATAACAACTGTTCGTAGATTTTTAATGAAAAATGTACCTATTTTAATAAAATAACTATGAATAATGTAACATACCATATTTAAAATACCATCAGATGATTTCAATGCCTCCACAGCAAATCTTCTTTCTATATTGACTGTATCAGTATTGTTAATTCTCAGAATGCAATCATTCACCCTAAACAAAGAGTTTTATTTACTGATGAAATCATATAAGATAATTAACAAATAAATATTTATTAATAAACATTAAAGAAATGCTTTTAGAGGAATAAATAAATATATAGAATACATTATGAAATTTAACAAGAGAGAGTGCCTAATGCTTGCCTCCAGTGACAAATTACTTAGCATTTAATTAATGATAGTAGTAGTAATATAGCCAGGTATAATTTAGTAATCATTTGGCTTTAATATATATAACTATCAGGTTTGGATGTTTATTTTTTTAGAATACACTAACACAAAATCTGTTTCCAATTCATTAAGGTACTTGTATATAAATTATTTATTTTATACATCATTTTGAAGCCTATTTAATGTAGATTAGTCATATTACATCTATTTTACTGCTTAATTTCATTTAAATAATTAGAAACAAAATTCCTCTGCCCCTCTGCTATTCTAACTATTGACTTACAGAAAAACTACTGTAAATTAAATTTTGGTCAGGAGGACTGATGTCATATCTCTCGAATAAAATGGCACTTAAGTGAATAACTGTTATGGATAGGAAAGAAAGATATGAAAAATTACGTTCAATTAAATGTTGCTTAATTTGCATACAGAAATAAACACCAAATTGTAAAGGTATTTAAACAAAAAATGTTGTATACAAAGAAATTTTATAAGATCATATATTCAATATTAATAAATTTATTTGCTTCTTTATTTTCCCTGTATCTTTATAATTTAAATTTTTTATAGTAAATTTTTTGCTGATATCAACTAGTATCAACAGATTAACTCCATGTATTTACTATAAAGTATTTTTACATTGGCTTAACTTACACAATTAATTTCCATAATTTAGATATGCAGAATTAAATGTCACTATAAATAATATTTATCAAAAATAAAATTTTTTTTTAAATCATAAAAACAGTTCTATTTATTGTGAGTTTTCCAATCATGCAGAAGAACCTGTTCTTAGTTTCTACTCATTCATTCTCTTGAAATTACAATGCATTAATCAGTCCAAATGTTGTAAGAAAGCAAAACACTATTTTAATACAATTTTTCCATGTGTTTTTTATAATAGTTTTTCATTTTAGCTTTTCAGTTTATCTTGTCTTATATTAATAAGTTTAATGAATGTATACATTAGATACTTATTTTTAAATTTTCAAATAGTATTCTAAAATGTTCTTGCTTACTCATTACTTTTTGCATTCTTTAGAACTATCAATTCTAAATTTTTTTGTATTTGGTTTTGAAGGTAAAATAAAGCAATTCCAAAAAATGTTTGATCCAATAATGAAGTTTTTTGACTTTTATAAATATAAGTGGCTGTTTGATTTTTAGGTGAAAAACTTTTTGTAGTTGAATGGAAATTATTTGCTATTCAATATTCAATTCAAATTTAAAACAATGCTTAAAAAGTATATATGTCATTCCTCAAACACTAAATAGTAATTAAACAGATACTACAAATTATTGTTTTTATTATATTTATACTATAAGATTTTTCAGTTTTTTAAAAAATATTAATGCATTCATAAAACATATAAAAATAAAAAAATTTCAAAATCAATTCAAGTGTTAAATGTATAACAGAATCTTATCTTACTTTAATTTGCCATCTGCTTCACTGCCCTTCACAATATTTTGTACAAAGATAGAAGAATCATTTCCATTATGAGAATTATCTTTCCCCCCACCAATCTCAAATCCAAGATCATCAGATAATACCCTCTAGATGAATATAATAATAAAAAAGTTAGTAACTATATAGCGACATTAAATAATAATATATAATTCCAGACAGCTGTAATAAACTAAACATACTAAGTTAATCTCAAAAGTTTCCACTTCCCACTCTTGTAAATCTGCATCGATTGCCGAATCACGACTGTGATTATTTCCAACAGAGTTCAGTTGTTTCATTCTTGTTTCTTTCTCAAGCTGAGCTTCAATTTTTTCTCTAAAAAAAAAAAAATCATAAGTTTTATTATTTTTAAAAAATTTATTTTTAATATAAAATGATCTTATAAAATTTACTTTAACTCCTTGAGTTCTTTAGCTGCTTCATTTCGCTGCCGTTTCACTTCGTCAGAATCTCTAAGAGCTTCGGCTAAATCGCTGACGGCACGATCTCTTTCTCTACGCAGTTTATCACATAATGTGCGAATACTTTCCCTCTCTAAAACAATCTTATCTCTTTCACTAAAGGCCCAATCTCTTCTCCTTTTACAAACATCTGCTTCTTGTTGAGCTTCTAAAAATTTAACATATGATTTTAAATAAAACACAAAATAAGAAATCATTTTTGCCTTAGATATATATATTTAAATAGCAAATAGTTATATCACTAATTTTAAAATAATTATGACGATAAGATGTCTAACCTATCAATTCCATATGTAGTCTTTCCAACTGCCTTGAGAGATTTTCTACTTCTCTATTTGCTTGGTCTAAATCATCCAATCTTCCACGACCCTGTAAATGAGTATCACGTAACGGCATATTTAAATCTCTCTCTTTCCTTAATCCATCCCTTTCTATTTCCCAACGAGTTTCATATTTTCTAGCCGACCATTCTTGACTATGCTTTCCGCTGTCTTGTTCGGTAACAAAATCACCATATTTTTCTCTTAGATCATTACATTCTTTGATTGCATGATCTCTGTCTTGAAGAGCAGATGCAATTTCTCTTCGTAGACTTTCTACCTAAGTATTCACAGAGATAATGGTTAAATTGCTACAAAATTTTAAAACATATTAAAAACAATTATAGATGTAGAGTAACAAACTCTAATTAAATTATTAAAAAGTCACATTACTCATTAATTCACATTCTTTTTATTTTGTCACTAATTTACATTTGCAGCTTGCCCTTTAATCAATCAGAAACTTAATTTAAACATTTTTGGAAGAAAAGTCAAATTTGAAATAGGATTTGAATCTACACAGTCAGCATACTTTTTATTAACTAATAATATGCTTAATTAATATAGATATTGAAAATTTGAAGTCCATTTTAATCCAATCTTTTCTTCATATACTATATAACATGCATTAAATGTCAATGAGATGATAAAATTTCAAACGTATCTGTTATAATGAAAGTATATCATATGAGTAAACATCTCAGAATTTCTATTATAAGAATACCTTCATAATGCTGACTCTTTTTAAGATCAACACTGGTGAATTAGTTATTGGAAATAAAGCAGTAGCTATTTTTCCTACTTACATTTATTTACTATACACAGGGTGACTCTGAAAGTTTTGCAATACAGGGAAATCGTAAGGCCTGAAACAAAATATTTTTAAATTTATGTTCAAAGTATTCTCCTCTGGCCAAAATGTACATACTTGTATAGTCGTCCCTCCCACAGATCAAAAGCATGATATTACTCATTTTCTGAAATGATAATCAAAATACTCCATCATGGAAGCTTTGATTTCATCCTCTGTGTTAAATTTGTGACTCCTCAAATGTTTTTTTCAAATTAAAAAATAGCCAGAAGTCACACATTGCCAAATATGGTGAACGTTCAATGACTGTATTATTATTAGCATGAAGGAAATCAACAGTCTTGCTTGCAGTGTTGTGAAGCATTAGTATAATGTAAAATTAAATCTCGAATTTTCAGTGACTACAGTTGTCTTTCTAGAATTCTGTAGTGTACCAATTAGCTGTTATTGTCTTCTGTTCTTCAAGCTTAATTTTTTCACCAGACCAGTGCTATGGAGGGGGAACAGTAAACATGACTTTTTTATTGCTCTCTGCCTTTTCAAAGTTGTTGGAATTGGTTCATCTTTATGGATCCATACCAGGATTTCTTGACATGTAGGACAGTTGTAAAGTAATACATGCATTTCATCCCACGACAATCTTGAAAATAATCTGGTATCCACATTGGTTTAACATCTCTAGTTTTCTTAGAGATCCTGACGCACTGTGACTTGGAAATCTGATGAGAGAGCTGAACTTAGTGGAATTATTTTGTTTAAATATATTTTTTTTTGAGAGAAAAAATTAGAGAGATAAAACAAAAACCAACATTTTGAAAGATAATTAAACTGTTTTCCCATGGACTTGTTTCCTGTGTAAAGATGATACATCAGGTGTGTCACCTGGAATCTGCGACAGAAAATTCAACTATTGGACAGTGATAGAAAAAATTCCTAATAAGGCCATGGAAAAAACACAGGACAGATCCCTAATAAAAAGGAGGAGGTCGCTGAGTCAGACAGAGTCATCGAGTTAACTTTGAACTGTGCGTGTGTAGGCTGTCGATCGCCATTCGCTGCTGCCATTACTGTTCCTAGTCGCTGCCACTCCAAATAGTGTGAAAACATCAAATATCATTCTAAAGATATTTATCTTAGTGCAAACTTAATGTGAACTCTCTCTCTCTCATTATTTCTTGCTGTTAGGGATGAAGTAGTTATGTCTTATATTATGTGTTAGCTAAGCATCTATAAAAATATTGTAAACAGTTAAGATTGATTAATAAATGGGCATTATTATTATTTAATAACTTGTGGAGTGTGTTTCCTCTGGGTCTCTCCTTCTGCCTCCATTCCAGATCCGAAAGTCCGCAAACGCCACTGTTCGAAATAACGAGATAAGCGGCCAATCTGGTTTCCGTGTCTGTCCGCAAGACAGTGGTGTCATCCTGACAAGGCGCTAAAGAGGTGCCAAGCCTGCAGTCACACTGTCAACTGATGAGGTATTCATTGAGACAGTATTTTAAACAGTAATTTCTTATGCAAAATGTCTGCAACTGCAGAGCCTCCAATCTGTAGTCTCTCCTGTATCATTTCATAGATACATCTTTGGTCTTCCATAATCATATGTTGACAATACTTACATTTCCAGCACTCTATACTGTTTGTGGTTACCCTTCACATGGTTCATTGTGAAAGGAAGTACAATCCCTCTGAAATTCTTTGTATCACCTGAACACAATAGTAAACGATGGGCATCATTCCAAGGAGCCAATTTCAATTGTTCATAATAGTCTGTCTTTCAGTCAAATACAAAAATCATAGTAAATCATTGTGTGAAGTACTTCTTTAGAAAGTTCCATCATTGGGACGCAATTTGAAAAAATTGTAGACCTATAAATTCCTACTGTCATCTGTCTGTCTGTCTTTCCTTAATCTCAAGAATGGAGTTAGACAGATGAATGCTGAGACCTTATGAAAAGCTTAGGGGCAAGAGACCCTGATTAACTATACTGTATATAATCTTCCAATGTAAGCTAGAAGTGATGTTATTTCAATTCAAAATTTTTCCCTGAAAGGAGTTAGATACATGACCAGCATAACTATCACTAACAGGAAAAGTATTATGTACTGTACAGAGGCAAGACACTACTAATTTGAGATGGAGACATATAATTTAAATTAAATAAATTAAAAATATGATAGAAATTGCAACCTGGAATTGTGACAGTGTCATAATAAATAATTGCTTGTTACTATTACAAAATGGGCCTGCCTCCCTAGATTAAGGAAAATTGATTAAATTTGTTTATGCATAAAGTGTTGTATGAAGTTTATTATTAAAAATATAAACACTTTAATTCATCATGATAATTATCTTGTATTGCAAAACTTTCAGAGTAACCCTTTTATAAGATGTATTATAGAAAAAGAAGAATAACTCATACCAAGAAGTTGCTAGGTGTTATTAAGTCATCTTATAAAAATAGAAAAAAAATGTTGAATATTTTCTACTGTGTAAACTCAATTCATGAGCTTACTTTGTTCCTGAAAATAACTTCTCAAACAGACAAAGTGTTCCACTGTTTCTTATAGTTGAAATTTTTATCTAATTATCCTCCAAATAAAATTAAAGTGCTAAAAAACACTAACTTTTAGTTTACAGTTGCAAGGTTAGCATAAAGTATAGATAAGTTATCATAAACTGTACTGCTCCTAAATAACAGTAAATAGAATTAATCATTGAACCAACAACTACAGGTATACCTCGCCTTATGTTGGTAATTCATTCCAGGAGAGGCGACTTAAGTCGAATTTACTTTTCACTAGGCTAAACCACAAATAATCATTTCCTGTTCTGTATTTTATTTATAAATGCATTTTTAATAATATATGGTTAATAAGAATGTATTTTAAGCTTACAAACAAATAAATTTTAGTGTTTAATATAGTACAGAAAAAAGTAATCTAAATTTACGAATTCATGTACGTACAGTACATACTTGTAAATGTACATGTTTACAATTTGGTGATGTTTGCAGTACCTCACAGACTCTTTATTTGTGAATGTGGTTTGCTCTAAGACATTATAAAATAAGATGATTTTGTAAGGTTAAATAACAAATAGTTATTAGAGTTATCTTGCAATAGTAGATAATAAACTAATTTATATTAAATTTACCAATATCAAGTGGCACTGACAACGATGCCAAATGGTAGATATTGGAGCTACCATGGAAAACACCAATATTGAGCACTTAAAGACCGCTAAATAAGATAACAACACAGAAAGATGTTTTCATGTTTTGTTCTCTAGGATTTATGATGATTATATTAACATTTACTGTAAATGTACGGTATATATTTTAATATGATTTTATATGCTTTTAACGCTTTTCTAGTGATACTACGACTTCAATATTTGTGGTGGATGGATGGATGTAAAGTCGAATAAAATGACAAACTTTATTTTTATTTTTCCATATATTTTTTGACAAATGACGTATAATTGAGAACGACATAATTCAAGGTATACCTGTACTATTGAATTATATTTTATTTATTTGCTTAACAACTTACTTCTTCTAATGCTGCCTTTTTTTGACTTTCAAATGCTTTGATCATTTTTTGTGACTCAGATAACTCTTCTTGTAAGCGTTCAATCTCCTTATGAACAGAATCTCTTTCTGACATAATAAGCGAATATTCTTGAATAGCTGCATTTCTTTCTTCGGTCAAACGAGCGAGATCTTTAGTTGCTTTAATACGCACTGCCATAGCTTGATTTATTTCTTTCATCGCTTCGTCCCTCTGTTGCTGAACCTAAAATATCAAAATATAAAATGTATTATTGAATAATTTTAAATTATTACTTCTGAAAAGTATAAAATTCAGATGATTACTTTTTATATTCAAAATGTATAGACTCAAAAGAGTGTTTGACGAAATTTGTTTAAGTTTCTGTAATAATATAGAATTTGATAATTGTGAAAAATTATGAAATAAATTACTGATTTCATGTTTAGTGTTTTTTGAGGAAAAAAGTGAATCATTGTATAATCTGCAGAGAATTTTTCATTGACAAAAAAGTTCAGCACTATACAGTTTGTGCGAGTTTGCATCATCATTTAATTGTTTTAATTAATTACCAATTATATAGTGCAATTTGCAAGGACAATTAATTAAAATAAAATATTCCAAAATTTAGGAAAGATATTAAACAATTCACTTTAAAACAGTACAATGAAAATTTAAAATCCAGAATTATAAAATGCAACCAGTCCTTAATTTATGACCTCCTAAACTAATATATTAAAAATTATTTAAGTCCAAACAATAGGCCATATTTGCTAATTGCACAGTAATCACATTCTCTATTTGAATTTATTAATAATTTATTAAAATCTAAAATACCTAACACAAGAATTTCAGATACTGTAAACTGAATATCTTGTAATTAAATATAAAAATTATTAAAAGAAAAGAGGCCCATTATAAAAAAAAAATCCAATTGAAGTCAAGTCTTTCAACAAAATTTAGAAATGCATGGGAGTTTCGTTTCTAGAATGAAAATGTTAGTTGTTGTTTTTAATCATAAAATTTCTTTAATTGTAACATTGCAGACAATTACAATAGACTTTACAGTTAATATTATCAATTTTAAAAAATATATGGTGTAGAGTTGACACCACTTACTTTAGTAAGTTGTTCTCGAGCTTCATTTCTTTCTCTCAGTGAATTATCCCACTGCCTGATGGCTGCAGTACACTGTTGTTGAAGACCGTTTCTTTCTCTAATAATGGCAGTCCGTTCAAGCATGGCTTCCTCATAACGTTTCCTCCAACAAGATAACTCTTCCTGTGTAACTTCTAATTTAGAAACCGTGGCACTATGAGAGGCCATTAAATCTGCATAGCGCTTATGCAGGGTATCATATTCTTCTTTCATCGCTTCACATTTTCTAACAGTTGAAACATATAACTGTTCAGATTCTCCTCCTGCTGTTTCAGTCAATGTCTCCTGAAATAGTTACATAATAAATTTGTTTAGTTTTTCTTATTACATCTGAATTATTATTAAAATGTATTATTTAAATCTATACTTTTCATAATTGACATTTATATAATGATATATGATACGTTTATATATGTAAGAAAATTCTGACAAAAAACTACAGAAGTAAAGATTAAAAAAAAAACAACCTTATTTGTATATATCATTCTTATATATACATACATAATATATATGTAATTGTAAAATGTGGTGTGAAGATACCACAAAATATCACTTAAAATCATACATAACTGCTTTTTATGGAACCAAAAAGTTTTAGTTCCATAAAAAGCAGTTATGTAAGATTTTAAGTGGTAATCATGGTGCTAAGCTTTACGCAGTTTTATGAAAAAAAAAAAAACCTACAAAATATGTTAAAGACAACAAATTATCTCCTTTTCACAATGAAAATGTTGTCTTTTGTAAAGAAATTATTCAGTTGTCTTTAAAATAAAAAAAATAATAAAATAAGCAGACAGATTGCTTTGTATAAAAATTTATTTTAAAATGTTTCTTTGTTTTCATTTACAAATCACATATTCAAGAATCATGGTGTATTGTTTGACACCAGCCTTTTATAGATGGGTGTCAAACAATACACCTTGAAATGATGCATTAAGCCAGACATATCTTCTGGGGAACCTAGTAGAGTTATGTGAGTAGCAGCACGAACTTGGCATTCATCACATGGTACTAGCTCATTCCATGATGAGACCATACACAGTGAGCTAGTACCACATAATACTTCCAACATATTTGTGTTGCTACTGAACATAACTTGAGACTAGGCATCCTGGTTGTACACAAGTACTCTTGGCAAATCTTAGGGTCTGCAACCTCATGTCTTTTAGATTTTGACTATGATCATTCAACCTAAAATTGCCTAGTGTGATTTGCAAAGATTATCAGGAAAAGTTAGAGTTTCAGCATGCCTTGCCATTACTAGTTCTATTTTCATGATTCTGATAGTTCTCTTGGGGGTCTGTTGGATGCTTCCACCTCTATATCTTTTTACTTAGGCTTACGCAAGGAGGGCCTTTTTAAACTCAAAAATAACAACCAACATAAATTTAATCCTAGTTTACAGATCATTTGTCTTTGCTGAGGAACATGCTATAAGATCAGTTCTAACAAATTCTAACTTACTTTCTTTGTTAGTTTGGTCTTCTCTCCTAACTGTCTTGATTGGTATCTGGGAAGACCATCCTTCCCAGTCTAGCTTACAGCTGGATCTGAAACTGATAGTGGCATTGATGTTAGTGTTTATAGAGGAAGCACAGATGGAAGATTTTGTCCCATTGCGCAGCTCCTAACTATAATTCAAGCAGAAGTGTTTGCTATTTTTTTTTATATGTTTATACTATTTTCAGTGGACTTTCTTTAAAGTCCACTGAAAATAGTACACACACATCAAATTTTAACCATACAAATAAGTGGTATTTGTATTTTTCTGAACTGATTGCCTGCAATAATTATTTTCTCTTGTGGAAACCAGGATATAAAGAAACTGCTAGGAATTCAAGTGATAATTTTCTGGGCAAACAAGATGTTTCTTATCCTTTTACTATCCAGAATTAGTTATTGATATTTAATACTTTTTCTAGAACTATCAAAGACTGAATGTTTAACATCTAATACAATGGAGAAAATCTCCCGATTTAAGTATAGCAAGACATTTTCACCTAGCTTATCTTTCATGCCAAGTAAGAATTATGCTCGCTTTCTGGCACATTGTGACTGGTTTTGGTCACTTTCATAATCATTTGTGCCTATTGAAAATTTTCTTCTTGGCCTTTCACCACATTTGTGACTCTGCTGAAGAAACAGATTACTTTGCATCTCATTTGTGATGTGCAGTTCTTTGTTCAGGAAAACGTCTTCATGTGGATTCTTTTTAGAAGTACAATATCTTTTTTTAAAGAAATCAGACTTCTAAAGTAATCTCTTGTGAGTGCACAGACTTTTGCTTTCCATTTGTTAAGTAATCATTGTGCTGCAATTTGAAAAAAATTGTAGACCTATAAATTTTCAATGTTGCCCATCGACCTGTCTGTCCTTCCTTAATCTCAAGAATGGAGTTTGATAGATGAAAATCAAAACCAGATATGGAAAGCTTAGGGGCAGGAGGCCCCTAATAACTATATACAAACTTCCAATTTGTAACAAAAGTCACATTATTTCAATTAAAAAATTTCCCCTGAAAGGAGTTAGATTACTAGCACGACTCTATTGCTAACAGGAAAAGTATGATGTACAGGAGCAAGACACTACTAATTTGAGGAATATATTTTAAATTAAATAATTTATTAATAAAATGTTATCTCAATAATTTGAGTATTTTGTATTATCTCTAAACCAAAAACTGATTACGTCAACTAAAACACAGGAATTTTCATAACTTATATAATATGTAACTAAATAATAATATTTCGTTACAATAAATGTAAATTTTATATTCAGACAATATTAAAAAAGATTTATGAATATGAGAAACTATTCTATATGAGATCTATTCAAAATATCATATGTACTGTACTGTACATATGATATTTTGAATAGATCATATGTATATACAGTTGAACCTGTCTATCTTGAATCTCACAGGAACAAGAAAAAATTTCAATGTAAATAGTTTTCAAAATCTAAAGGTTCCTATAGTAAACAGTAATAGGTTTGTTAGGCGATATGATATTTTATTAATACAATGGCAACTACAGTACATATCTGTATTAGGTATAAATAAAACATTTTTGACATATCTCAACAGGAATAGTTTGTCAATAGTTTCTGATGCCTGACTTTCTTTGACCAATAAGACACAAGCCAAGTTCTTAGCCAATTGGAGAAAGCAGCGTTAATTGCAACCACGTACTGTGTCGCAAAGGATATTTCTCAACTGCAGTTATTTATGTTATCAAAACATAGTTACCGAGCTTTGAACATGCAATTGACACTTAGGTCCATAATTTGAGATAAGAAGTTTTGGAAGAAAATTATTTGAGATAAACATGAAAAATACATTGAATTTAGGTTAAAAATGCAAGATAAAAACTTAAATTTTGAAATAATACAGTATGTTTGAAATAAACAGATTCAACTGCATATCATTCACTTTTAATTGTTGATATTTGTTATAACGTGGGTACTTCAAAAAGTTTGTGGAAAAAGTCCGTAACTAAAAATTGTTTGGAAGGATTTTGATTTCAATGTACCTGAACATTCTTGTACCAATGTGTTATAACATGTTCAAACATGACCCCTTAAATGCAGGTAAGAACCAGTTGAAAGTCAAGCACCATTCAAGCAACATGGAATCCACCAAAATCGAAATGAGAACAAACAAAGTTCATGGTGAAACTTGGTTGAGAGAATAGGCAAATCATTGATGCTCTGAAACAAGTTTATGGTGATAATGCTCCAAAAAAGTCAACAATCTACAAATGGATAAGTCGCTGAAAGGTACCAATTTTCCATCAGTTGAAGATGTAAAAAGAGCTGCTCTGACATGGTTCAGATCATAAGACCCTCAAGTTCTACTCAGACGAACTTAAAGGCTGGTATCAATGTCTGTAGAAGCATATCGACCTTAATGGAGCATATGTTGAAAAATAAACATAATAACTGAAATCATTTTTTCATACTATCCTTTTTCCATGAACTTTTTGAAGCCCCCTCGTAAATTGATGTAAATTATGAAAGAATAAATGTTTTTAAACTTTGTATTACTCTAACTCAATGGTTCCCAATTAGTGGTACGTGTACCCCTTGGGGTACGTGAAATTGCATGAAGGGTTACGTGTGGTAATCTAAAATCAGTCGATTTAAAATTTAAATGCATGAGATGAAGCAATCAAAAAAATAATGGGTGGACCATCAAAAATTTGGCAATTTACAACACGATGTGAAATGCAAAAATTTGTTTATTTATAACTAAAAATATTTTTGAAATTTCATTAAAAAAAAAAATGCATTTGTGACAATACCTAAATGAAATTCTTGCAAAGAAACAAAAATTGTACAATTAACACAATTTGTGTTAATTGTACAAATATTGTACAAAAATTGTACAATTAACACAATTTGTGTTAATTGTACAATTATCATTATCACCGTGTCAGAGAAGCAGCAATAAAATATTTTCTACCATTTTGCACAACATACCTCTGCAAGAGCGGATTTTCGGTCATGACAAACATGAAAACTAAACATCGTCACCGACTTCAACTCGAAGATGACTCGAGACTGAAGCTGACCAAAAAGCAACCAGATTTTACAAAGTTGTGCAAAGAAAATCATGCACATTTGTCGCATTAAAATTAAATAACCTTATGTTATTTTCATTATTATTAGAATTGTATTTTAAAGGTAATAAATGTAAAAAAAAAAACTTATTCTATTTATCACTTGCTGTCTACCGACAGCTTCACCTGCATTATATAGAATTTTCTCGTGGGAGTAAGATATTTTCTTGCTGTAAAATGTAGCCTATGTCCATTTCCAACATGTAAGCTATCTCTGTGCCAAATTTTATTAAAACCTGTTTAGCGGTTTAGACGTGAAAAGGTAACAGACAGATATACAGAATTACCTTTGAATTTATAATATTAGTATGGATTAATATGAATTTTTGCTATAAGGGGTACGCAAGTTTGAGCTCTTTCTTGAAGTGGTATGCAGGAAAAACTAATTGGGAACCACTGCTCTAACTTAATCAAATATACCTGAAAATAAGAAATTTGTTTTAATTTAGAAAATATTTAATTTAATCTCTTATTTATAAGCTTTTTGACATTAAAGTCTTATTATTATGTTATTCTAATTAAAGGAAATAGATTGCATTGATGAAATCATTTAAAAGACATAATTTAGTTTACTTTTTGGATTCCTTAGCATTTAAACAAGATCATTTTTATTTCCAATATTTCATATTCAAATTTATTTTCATCTAATAAAAAGCAAGTAAAATTTAAAACGTTAATAAAATATAAATCATAAAAGGCACGACATTAAAGTTTAGGTTCTTAAGAACTAATGCATAAAACCTGTAAGAAAATTATCCCAAGATCAGAATAACTAAAAAAAAAACTGCTTTTCATTACAGCATTGAATATTCTGTCCCATTTTGTTGCTATCATTTACAGTTATGTTTACTAATGTAGAAAAATAATAATATTTATTTTAATTTTCAATAAATTTTCCCCTACAAAACTTTACCTGTTGTCGACGCAATTCTGCAACTTCTTTTCTATCTTCTTCATGATATCTTTGCAGGCGATCAATCTCTTGTTCTAATCGATGTTTGTCTGCTAATAACTCATTGTACTGCTTTTTTAAGATTATTGTTTCATGTCTTTGATCATCTGCTTTATTTTGAGCCATCTAATAATGAAATATGATTACACTTACAACACTTGAATACAAACTATTATCTATCTTTTAGTTAATTTATTGGTAACAATGGCAATAAAATTGCTCATATTAAAAAAAATCAAAATATTATAATCAATAAATAATTATTTCATGCAGTTTTTTCATTTGTTACCATCATCATTTTGCAAAATTTAGCATCTGTATCTGATATGCCACCCTTTACAAATATTATCTCATTTATCAAGAATTTTGTACTAACAATAAAAAATAATGTTTATACAAAGTGTGATACAAAAATTATTTAGTCAAAATTTAATATTTTTATCATCATTTAGTAAAGAAAGCTGATATTAAAATTATTGAGGTTCTAATTATTTTTATCTGATTTCAATAAATTGTTAATTTTTTAGAATGTAACAACAGTTAATGCTTCAAAGGCTATTTTTGTTTTTTGCTAATTTTCTATACTGCAAGAAAATATCTAAAACTAATAAAAGAAAATAAATTTTAAAAAATATCAATTTAGTCTTCTCTCCACACAAAAACATCGCATGAAAAAAATTAAGGCAATAAAATTATCAGAAAACAACTCTTTTCTCAATGTATAATATGTACAAATAGATTAAACTTTTAACTGAAACATAAATTATCTAGAAAGAATAAAAACTTTTTGCAGTATATTCCAGGAATATTGTGATTTCATGCAGATAACCTGTGAGTTCTGTTTTTAAGAGTCAATTTGTCAATTGAATTTTAAGAGTCAATTGAAAGCAAGTGCAGGTAATGTAATAATGCGAGTCATCTGGCAATTTTAACTTACAACTATAATTCATTGAACAGCTTTTCCTTTGTTTAAACTTACCAAGACCATTTGTAGAAAACATAAGTTTGATAAACATAAGTAAAAAACATAGTTTGGTAATGGCAAGACCACTTGCCATCACCAAATTACAAAAGACATGTGCACACCTTGTCTTTAGTTCTCTCCCATTTATTTACTGTAAGTCATTCTATTATTTACATAATTTATCTTGACTTAAAAAAAAAAACACAGCAACAAGATCATGTGCTGGCATTAGATTACATTCAAACTGGGCTTAGAATTGTGTAATGTACTGGTGTAAAATATTGATAGGACCAAGAACTACAGCTTTTGGCATTTGGCAGGTAGTGATTTTGCTGCTGTTGAGTGTTTATAAAGTGCTGATGTAGATTTTTTTGGCCTGGCATCTAGGTGTGCCAATCACCACAGGCACTATTTTGGCTGGTTTGCACCAGATTCACTGAATTTCAATCTTCAAATCTTGATATTTTGTGATTTTTTCCTGTTCCTTCTCTTCGATTCGGCTGTCATCTGGTATAGCTATGTCAATTATCCATACTTGTTGACAAGACTATGTCTTGTTTATAAAATTATACTAAAGACTAAAGAGAGAAAGACATGGCCGAGCAGTGAGCATAGCCTGTGAAAGGGGAGGAAAGAGAGAGGAAGGAGTGGTGAGTGAAGGTGGAGAGGTGGGGGAAGGAGAGGTGGTGAAGGATGAAGTGGGATCCATGAGCGCCCACACGGGTCCGTTGATATAAAATTATACTGCCGGTTGGCTTACCAGCTTAGAGATATGAAGGAGTACATGTCAAGAGTTGCAATTTGGTGCAGTATTAAGTGCCCAAATCATGTGCGCATAAAAAAAAACCAGACTTGTAGGTACTCAGGGGACCAAGAACTGAGTCAAAATAAAATACAAAATGGCGACACTCTCTACAAACATGCAGTAGTACGAGATTTGCACATGCATTGCTCGTTGGAAAGTTGGAAACGCAAATGTTGTGAAATCAAATTTTGACAAAAGAATCTTCAAAAAACCCATTTACCTGTCCTATGTTACTCCCGACATATCTCTGGTCGTGATGTGCTGACCTCGACCAGTTGACCCAAGAAATCTCGTTTCAACATCAGAACATTTTTGAAAGTAGATGGTGTTAATCGTTATAATTTTATATTAAAACTAACTTCTGAAATATAATTTGTTTTCTTTTTACATTTATTAATATATATATTATATACAATATATACACAGACAATGTATATATATTGTCTGTTTGGTCTTATATGGTTAGTTTGGTCTTCTGGTCATCCATTAACTCCTCCACATCCTCATTACTCACCTCTATCTCCATGGACCTGACTAGACACAGTTTCACTCACCACAGACATTGCTTCAAAGCCTTCAAATGTCCGAAATTATTTTTTTATTTTGCACAGACAATATATATATATATATATATAGTCTGTGCAAAATAAAAAAAATAATTTCGGACGATACAATAGCCAGGATTATTTTTTTCAAAAATGGAAAATTGGCAAAAATTCAACCCAGGGTGACATGCAATGGAAAGAAATTTTGAAATTAGGTTAATTTCACCAAAAATGCATCGTGGATGACCCCATGGTCATGGCCATGGTTGGTGAAGTTTGAATGATCACGCTCAAAACCAGTGATACCAAAGAAGATTGGAGAATGAGAACAAAACCTGCCTTGAGTGTCAAAGTAATCCCACTTAGTAGTGAGTCTCTGAGACATAGTATTATCCCAAATACAGCTTTGCCATTTTACTTGTTTCTCTTCAATGATTGCAATGTCTGATGTGTTGTGTGCCAATACCATGTCTGTTTAAATTAGAAAATTCCACAATATTTTGATATGGTCATTTTCAGTGACTTTTTAAATCTGATATTTCCACCAGTTCTTAGAGACAGGCAGATTGTAATTCTTGTATAAGTTCCCATGAATCTTTTTTTGCCACTGAATTATGTCACAGTTTGTCGTCGATTTGGGCAATCTTTTTACAGCAGCCGAGAATATGGTCCACAATTTCATCAGCTTCTTTGCACAGTCTACATTTTGTATCATCTGATGACTTTTCAATTCTGGCTTTGATTACATTTGTTCAAATTACTTGATCTTAAGCAGCTAGAATGAGGCCTTCTGTTTCTTTTTTCAATGTTCCAGATGTTAACTATTACCACATTTTGCTGTTATCCACTTTGTCTTTAATCTTCTCCAGAATTTGGCCATGCAATGCTTTATTTTGCCAGATTTCTCTTCATTGTTTGAGAATATTTTTTCTGTATTTTCTCTTTGTAGTTTTGACTTTAAGCAAATTTTTATTTTTGATTTCAATCAGAGCTTCTTGTTGACTAGCCTTGACATAATCTGCTAGTGCATGTTTCTCTTCCTCAACTGTTTGTTTCACTTGCAAAAATCCTCTGCCCCCAGTTTTGCAGGACAGGTATAATCTGTTATCATCACTTTGAGGATGCAATGAGTGATGAAATGAATAGTCATCAATTTTCTCGTTTTTCTGTCCAGTCTGTCCAAATCAGCTTGAGTCCAGCAGTGTATCATATCACAGGCATAGCCAGGTACTGATGGCCTTGACTGTGTTGCCACCATCCAACTTTGATCCCAAAATTTTCCTGACTCTTTGATGTACACTTTTGCAACTACACTTTTCACTTCAGTGTGTTTGGTATTGTCTGTCTACAAAATGCCCAGGTATTTATAAGCTTCATCCGGATTACTTTTGATGACTTGCCCATTGTGTATTGTAATACGATCACTGTTTTTAATTTTTCCTTCGTTTATTGTTACTGATGCACATTTGTCAAAGCCAAATTTCCTTGTAATGTCTGTACTGAAAATATGGACTGAATTGATCAGATTATTGATTTCTTTTTCATTTTTTCCACACAGTTTCAGATCATCCATATACAGATGGTGAAAATTTTCTGCAAGTCTTTTGCAGTTTGTTAGCCCAGTTTCATTTTCTTCATGATTAATGAGTGGGATCAAGACAATGATGAACAATAGCAATGAGTCACCTTAGAAAGTTCCTCTCTTGATGTTGACTTGTCCATATTTTTCATTTCCAACTGGTAGGTCAGTCTTCCACTGTTTCATTGTATTTTCTGTGAATGCTATGATGATGTACAATTCAATGGTTTGCAAGCACTTTATGATCCAATTATGGGGTAGTGAGTTGAATGCCTTATTGTAATCAATCCATCACTGTTTTCTGCAATGTTTGTTGTTTTGATTTTTGCAATTTTTCAAAATCATTTTGTCAATCAGTAGCTGATCTTTAGTACCTCAAACTTCTTCTTTTGTTGCCTTTTTGCTCAACTGACACATTATTATTTATTTCCAAGAAGTTCATGATGTTGTCTGCAGTCAGCAAACATATTATGGTCCTGTAATTTTCTGGCATTGTGACTTTTGCTGGATCTTTTTGCAAGTGGTATGTTCTGCAAGTTGTTAACCAGTTTTGGATTTCAGCCCTTGCAGCATTTGATTAAAGTGTTTGGCTATGACTTGAAGTAAATTAGTCAGGTATTTCAGCCAGAACCCATGTAACTGATCATTGCCAGGCACTGTACAATTCTTGATCTTCTTTATCCTGTTTTAACCATTTCTTGTTATGACCAAGTTTTCCATTTGATTTTTACTCATCTTTTCAAAGTCTTTTATCCAGCCTGCATTGTGGTTATAATCTTTTTAATTTTCCCACAGATCCTTCCAAAATTGAGTTATTTCAGTTTTGTTTGGTTTTTTTCTGGTTATTTTCTTGTCACTACTGGTAGAATTTTTGCTGATCTATTGAACAGCTGATTTTGCTAGAACTGGTTAATTCTGGATTCATATCTTTCAATTTTTCTAGCTGTCGCTGTTATTTGTTGCAACAAATTATTATTATTAAATATTTCTACTTGAAATTTTATCCTAAAACTAATAAGTTTCTAATAATTTCCCCTCTCCATATTGCTGTTCCAGAAGAACGATGACATAACTGCCAAATTAATAATTACTTTAATTCCAAACCAAGATTTTTTAATGTTAAGTTAATCTTAACTAATTATGAACCTTTAGAATATAAAGGCTTATAATAATAGTTAATCTTAACTAAAAAAGTTGATTCACTAATATAACTTAAGTTTTGAAATCTGTCAAATGAGGTTTGATTTTAATATGCATGTCATATTTCAAAATCTTAATAAATCAAACAATATATTTAAGGTCTACAATGAAATATTTTACTTACCTTTGTTTTAGAATGATAAAATTCGCCTTCTCTAGATGTTTCAGTTTTGTGCATAAATTCAGGAGGTGGATAGCATAAATAGTGAAGATCATTTGGAGACCTCAAGACATCGCAATCTCTTCCTGAATTTGCTGAATGATCAGATGTACTCATTCCTATAAAACAATAATTTATTGAATTTACCATAGTCTACAATAATAATAATTTTATATATAAAAAAAAAAAAAAAATCTGGAAAGAATTGGCGACATAATAAATTTAATAAGAAGTATAATTATTATTAACAAAACTGCATTTGAAAATTATATTTTTGTAACTATTTATTCAATTACAGCAATGGTAATCAAACTTTGGCAGGCCAAATTGCCTGTGTCATAAATAGCTAGGCTACAAATATTTTGTATATTCCATATATTCAAATAGTAGGTCTATTTCTATTATTTATGAGTTGTTAGTCTGGTCTGCAAACATATTTGACACAAATACTGTGGCCCAGATATGGCTTGGAGGCTGTAATTTGGACACCAATGACTTATACAATGAACACATAACTGATTAGTTTTTTGAATTACAAAATGTCTAATTATTTTAGATATAAATTTATTTATTTTATGGTTTTATATGGTAAAATCTCTAATTTGTGACTACCAATAGTTCTGAGGAAAAGTGACCTTTATGATTGCTTCGAAGGGATTTTCCATTAAATCAAATAATATAGCATTGTTAAAGTATGGTTTATTTCAATTTTTTTTGTAATAATACAAAACTAATTTTGCTTGTTTTGTGTGTTTTCAACAATTTCTTTTTCAAATTTATCGTCAGCACAAAAGAAACTCTTGTGAAAAGAGGTCTTTTAGAGGGGTTTTGCTGTAAAAAAGATGATAGTAACCAGGGCTGTGGAGTCGGAGTTGGAGTCGTGGAGTTTTGGTGTTTTAGCCGGAGTTGGAGTCGGATGGTAAGGAAGAGTCGGAGTTGGAGTCGTGGAGTTTTGGTGTTTTAGCCGGAGTCGGAGTCAGATTGGTAAGGAAAAGTCAGAGTCGGTAGATTTTTATGCGACTCCACAGCCCTGATAGTAACTCAAATTGAATACTTTCACTCCTATATTATAAAAAGTCTAATTTGCATAGAATCTGCCAGAAATCTCATTATGATGCTTTTTTGCATTAGAAAAATTGCATTAAATACATAAATGATGCATGTGAAAAGATATTATGGCAGGTAAAGCAACTACTAAAATTTTCAAACTTTTCCTCAATATACTACAGTTAATTATTTGATGTATCACCACCATATGGAAATATATGCAGTTCAGGAATACATAGTAAATTAAAAACAAATTTCAAGTACTTTCATTTTTAATTATCTAAAATAGACCTGGTTAACTTATGAGATACAATCTAATTTCACGAGTCAAAACTATCAATAATCTAACATCGCATTTTTGTTGTTTTGCAAAAGTTCATTAAATTGGGCCATTGTTATAAAATGAAACTATACTGCACAACATAAATTTATTTAATTTATTATAATTACGTTCCAGGTTATCTTTTTTAGTAACCAACTTGATAACAGGATTCAGTTCAACTAAACACAAACACCAAATTCCAGCAGGAAAAAGCTACTTTAAGTTTTATATTTACTTAGTGTTGTGTTAAATGGTGACTTATAATTTAATTGGTTTCCAGAATTGTTGCTAAATCAGAGTAAATCAAACTGTAATTTTCCTTCCCACACACTATCATAAATTAGATTTTCTTTCTCGAAATAAACTGAATTATGCAATATCACACTGAAATAAGAAGAAGAAAAAAAACAGTATTTAAAGAAAAATTTCTATTATAACTATAAAATTCTGTCATAAAAATGAGAGACTAAAGCAGGAGGACAGTGTATCTCCATACGCTATTTTTTTAAAAATTTTCTAAAAATATTTTTTGGAAATCCTGCATGAAATATCACAATGTTTATGCTGTTGCTTTGTAGAAATCCTTTGAAATACAACAGAATTAAAAAAAAACAAACAAACAAAATTGAGTCATACTTCTTTCATTTACGGTCACTGTAAGCTATAGTAAAAACTGTGAGATTCCTCTGGAATCTATAAAACTACATCCCTTACTGTATATTCAATGCAAAATTCTTCTGAACAACTACTTGATTCCAAGAATTTATGAAATAAAATTAATATTTGATTCACTTTTGTGGAGCATACTATCAGATAGAAATGGAACAAGGTTGGTCAAGCCTAAGAACTACAAACTAATCTTAAAACAGAAAACAGTGTAAAGAAAGTTTTTGAAAACAACACTATTGGAATTCAACTTTTGATTAAATATGCAGCTTTTACATAATGGAAAAACTGAAGTTTTGTATTTCAATGTTACCTTCAAATACATATTCAAATTTGCTAAACCTTAACAATCTAATCAAATGACAATCTTTTTATATCATTTAGTTTGGTAATTAGTTGTTCTGAATTATGTAAAAAATTTTACACACAAAAAAATTATAAAATACATATTTATTTGTATAATTTGTATATATTTCTATTGTAGAGTCCTAATTCATGATTATGCATAAAAATAACATTTATTACATGCCCCACTATTTAAACAACATTAATATTACATAAATTTGAAGCAGCAATAAAAAAAACTCCTTAATTTCATTTGTCTATTGTTTCACAGACACAGAGGTTATGTATACATGTACTGATGAACAGTTTAACATGTGATTGTCATGCATAGGATCTACATATGGATCTCCGAAAGCCAGAATATGCAACCACAAATACAATATGGCCAAAGAAAATTTCAACACAGAGCTTGCCCATTTTGCTGATGAACCTGAGGTTTCCCCCTGTTGGGATAAAGCTACACTTTTACACAAGGTCTTTGACCAACATAAATTATAATCATTGGAGGTGTTAGAAATCTACACAGCTGAGAAGAAAGAATGTTGTGTTAACTCTGACAGCATTACAGTACTGCAAGCATGGAAATACTCTATACATTCACACAGAATTTAATGTTTTCAGTTTTATTATTTAATATCACACCATGTAAAGAATTGAATCATTGAAAGCCTTTCTTTTATTTTTATGCTTTAAACTGTGTGTCATGACACATATCAAACATATTTTTGAATATTTGGAATTGCTATTTTAAATGTAATGGTAGTCTCCATCAAATGATAAAACTGTTTTTTTTTTTTTTTTTTTAAATTTCCTGACGAGGACCTCTAAATAGTGACCGAAAACGTTATAACTTTACAGTTATTTGCTGGAAATTGCATACAGGTGTTAGTTTCATTTCTGTACTGTTCCAGTTTTTACATGTACTGTTATGTATACACATAGAAAAGATCCAAACTTTCAAGCCTAACAGTTGCAAATAAACAAACTTGATAGATATTTTGATTCATATACTCATTTCATAGCTATTATTTTATGACCACTAATTCTTTACAATTCATTGTAATTAGAGATGAAGTTACAGTCTTATTATGATCCTTAATTAATTGAAAAGAGAATCAATGGAATGGCATTGCTCAGATACAGTCTCCAAAAATCATGAATGTTACCATCAATCAAAAAGTTGAGAGCCATCACTTTTTGGGATTGTAAAGGTATTCTGATCATTGAATTTAAAAGAGGTATAACCATAAACATAAAATGTTACATTTTCTTTTGTTAAATAAATAATGAGCATACATAAAAGCAAAGAAAACTCAGTTGGGGAATAAGATTTCTCCATAAAAATGCCACACTTTAAAAGGCTGCAATTGCGAAGATGAATTCACAATTGCAGCAGTATACTCATAAACTGGGGCATAAATGTTCTTGAATTTGCATTCACAGAAATTAGTCAGAAATTATAACTCAGATCTGGTGTCAAATGACTATTATCTGTTTTCAAAATTAAAATTTGACTTGAGAAAATTTTTCCAATAAGAAAGTGAACTCCATCATTTTAGGATAGTTTTCAGTCTAAAGAACCACTATTATCCTTGTATTGAGATGCTTTTTCAAATACATAACAAGTACAGAAAGATGGTAAGAGAGTATAATAAAAATTATAAAGTTATAAAATTATAGATTGTAAGAAAAATTTGAGAATTTTTCTTACAATCTATTTAAATCAAAATAGTTTGAGTCTTCTCTCATATGTTTTCATTGCTCTTTATACATAATTTTTTCCTTAAAACATATAATTGATATGAATTATATACTACATATTTACACACATTTATTAATTAAATTTTTTTTAAAAGTATTCATTTCAGTTTACTAATTTTAAATTATTTTTGCTGTTTAGATTAACTTATTTAGTCTTACTAATAGTGGATTCTCAATCTACTTTTTTTTTGGTGGGGCTAGAGGAAAAGACTGATCCAGGAAAATGATTGATGTGGGAAATTTATGACATTGATGTTTTCATTGTTTATCTTGTATGAAACATGCATTTTCCAGTGATAGGCTTATATGATGGCTTTCTGTAATACTAAATGATATGGAACATGCGTATGGACATGCCTTTATTCTACACTTTAAAAATTTGTTAAGTATACTGAAATTTGTTCTATTTTCTTTTGATAAGAATACATAATGTATTGACTCTTTTCTTGCACTTGAAGATGATGCCATAGAAGTGTCAAAAATGTTAGTGAAATTATTCATTCTTGTCACTTACAATGTGTTGATTCTCTTACAGAAAAGAGTTGTGACTTTTCTCACTTGTCCAGACATGATCTCCTTTACCTCTAGACAATGCAGAATTACCAACCTTAAGGGAGAAAATCATTGTATCTACCCCCTGAAATTATCATATTTCACTTAAAATTATTGTATATCCATCTCAATCCTTTATACTTACGCCCTTTATCCATAGAAATATTAACAAGGTTTGCCCTATGTCAGAATCTTGTAAACTATTATAATATATGATGCAAAACAAACCTCTGAATGGGCATAAGCTAAATTTACATTTTTTCATACAATTTCAACATATCAAACATTAAAAAAATATTGTTAACAAATATGTAACACATTTCTTTATATATCATAATTATTTCATATGCATAAGCCTTAGTTTTTACAAATTTTTACAGCCATCTAAAAGTTTTAGTCCACTCCTAAAGTGATTGCAACTCCCTATGCCAGGGGTCAGAATTAGCGGCTCGCGAGCTGCATGCGGCTCTTTGCATAGACGTTTGTGGCTCTTCGGACATAAACTCCAATTTCATCTCACCTCATTTCACCGCAGCCTTATAACTTATGAGTTTATGAGATAGAGCTGCCGAACAAACTTTGACTTGTTCTCCGTCCGCACATGACCACACTCGCGTTGATCAATATGAGTCGCATAAGAGTGGTAGCATTTGAAGCATATCTATATATATAACCCATTGAACGCATGTCCATCCATCCTTGTAACGTTATGCCGAAAACGGCCACTAGAGACGCCTCTGTCGTGTGCCGTATTTCGCACATTTAAATTAATATGCGGCTCTCTGGTACTTTTGTTATCCTGTTTTCATGACAATTCGGCTCTTCTCACTTGACAAACTGCCGACCCCTGCCCTATGCCAAAAAAGTTTCAGTTCAAGACAGTTCACTAGATGGAAACTTCTCTACAGGCACATTAATACATTTTATTATATTTTGTACAAGTAGAAGCATAATGACATTCTAACAGAACATTTATTTGCACAAGTTTTCCTTTTACATCTGTGAAGGTCCGAAACTCTTTTTCTGTTTTAGATCAGTACAAATCTAGGAATTTTCCGAGTAAAAGAGAAAAGGGGGACTTCTACGGTCAATGACCGAGACGCTCTCCTCGAATAAGGTAAAAAAAGGAGAATGTTAAACTATCAATAAGTTAAATCATCTCTATTTGTTTAACAGTTATTCTATAGACGTTAGTATCAACAAGAAGGGAATAAGAGATATTTCTTATCACCTCTTGGTCGCACGTAACACGTGGTTACGGCAATAAATCGCCTTGTTCATAGTCAAACTCGACGTTTGATATAAACAATAACTAAATAGTTGACCAGGTTAAAGAAATTATTGTCAAATGATTGTTAATTTATGGATGAGAGCCATCAAACCTACAGAAATTTATAACATAAAATCATGTCATCTTGACACCAATATCAATAAATTGAACAAATTTCTCTGTCAATTGTCCGAACTCGCTAGATCCAAATATCAACACACTAGCAGGTGTGCGGATAAATCATGAATAACGTCATAGTTCTCACCCCCTTGAAATCAGTATAAAGAGGGCTCCCGGCCAGTATCGGTGTGGCCTCCAACTTAGAAGGAACTAACGGATTAACGATCCTCATCGCTGACCACCAAAGACGGACACAGATAGATCCTACGAACTACAACTTAGTAAGTAGAACTCTCTCTTTCCTCTCAGGTGGATTAGGGCTAATTCCGCGAAAAGAATATTAAAGAGGATCAGAGACTATCCTCAGTCGAAATACCCAAGATATAATCCGACTAACCTACTATTGTAATATCGGTTTGATTTTGACATTATTATATTTCTTAGTATTTGTAACCCTTTTATATGATATATACTAATTAAATTTATATTATATCTTAATCATGCGTGTTTACTCGTACTCTGTCAACACCTTATCGACTTATCCGCGACCTCCCACTCGATTTTCGCCCTCCTAAATTGCCATCCACTGACCCTGTGAGCGGGACTCACCGCCCCGATGTCGGAAAACGGTTCAAGCTTTGATGCTTAAACCCCGATTCTCACACATCAATTTAAGCATTTTATCAGTAGGTCTAAAAGTATAGCAGTTAGAGGTCTCAAAAAGTATGACAAAGGTGCACCTTATAATTAGGATAATACAACAGTAGTCAGTCTAAAAACTTCTGAAAATTTAATAGTCCTCTAGCAGTGAAAAGACACAAAATATCAATGAAAAGGTGATACATATAAAAATAGCAATTATGAATTGGTTTTCTTCAATAATTAACAGTAGTTTTTGGAGTAAGGCATATTTATGAAATTATCATACAGACATCGCATAGTTTCTGAAATAATCATACAAATACAATAATTATTGTGCAGATGGAAACCTGAGACAACGTGCCAATTTTTATCAGTGTTGCCAGGCTTTAAGAGGAAATGTTGCCAGTATAGTATAGTATTTTGTAAAGCAGTAGACAAAAAGTAGCCAAAAATCACAATAAAAACTGGTTAGTTGTAGTCAAAGGATTTAATTGTTAAATTTGATGTGCTTTTATTTTTATTACACAAAAATCAGTATCCCAATTTAGTGCCCTTTATTGTGAGTAAAACAATTGATGTGAGATAACATTTTTCTTTCAGTTAAAATACAAAATGAACATTGCGGGAACGAAGAATAATTAACATTATATACATGGATCCTTATTTGGAACTGTAGAAAACAATCAATAGATGTGAAAAAAACAATTGATACAGGAACAATAGATCAAAAATCCACTATTTCATTTTCTACTTTCTAGTAATAAGTAACACAACTTCACATATTGTTATGACTAAAAGTATCCTCTGAAGTAAAAACACAACAGAGTTTAACATATTTTTTTTTTAGATCCATTACAAAAAACTATAATCATGATAATTTTAACTAAAATTAATAAATAAAGAGTATTTATAATTTAATAAATCAGAAAATCTAACCTTATTTTTTCTTTCATTCATGATTAACAAGCTTCTCCATTTGCAAACTTTCTCAAGAATACAAGTCTACGTACAGGGGAAGCACTATCGAGCAAAAAATTAAAAAAATATAAATTTTAAATTTATTACACATTAAAATTACACTTTTTGCAAAAATCAAGAAAATTTTTAAAAAACTTACCAAATAATTCCTTATAACTAGGAATTTAATACACAAATACAACAAAATGAAAATTGATGACCTTTTTCTTGTATGAAATCAATCAGTTGTGGTCAACTCAACACTCTATTTTCTAGAAAAAAAAGTTTTTTTATACATAAAAATTTACATATGCAACATTTATTTGTTTTTCATAAGACTAATTTCACACCTTCTTTATGCCTTCCTGCAATGTTTTTATCCTAGCTTATGGGTCTGCTTCAGGTTCTATAATATTCAAAGTGAACAGTTTACTGAGTCAGAAAACTCAGTAAACCATTCACTTTGAATGTGTAGAACCTAAAGCAGGCTCATAAGCTAGAATAAAAATGTTTGTTTTTTAATAAAGTATTGCTGGAAGACATAAGGAAGGTGAGAAATTAATTAAATAAAAGTTACAATTAAACAATCAAGAAAGAAACAAGCAGCATCAACAAAAAGTTATAAATTTTATAGTGTTTATTATTGGTAAAGAATAAAAATACATACAAATATTATGTATTTAAATAATTATCACATTAGTACAGTTAACAGAAAATATATAATAAGTATTAAAATTTTTATTGAGTTTTTATAGTGATTATACAAAGAAAAAGTCATTCATTATTTGCATTATTTTCAAATTTTCAATTAATCTAATACAGGCATCCCTTGATTAATGCATTAATTAATCCCTCAATCCTACCACACATCAAAATTGCATTAATCACAATATGTTATCTATGTTAAATAAAGATAGCTGGTAAAGCCACATAAATTAAAACTTCTCCATGTATATAAAGAAATTGCCACAATTAATTTTCACATTAAACAAGAGATACCTGTATTAGAAACTTAAAATTATTCTTATGTAGGAAATTAATTTTAAACTCCAGATATTTAGTTTTATGATTCATTTGATTAAATATATAATACAGACACCAGAAACTGTTGTCATTAAATTAATCAGAAACAAATGAATATAGATAAAAATAACTTAAATTATTCAGAAATAAGTAGTGCAGTTTTTTAAAATCACTGTTCAGATAAACTTCATTACAAGGAATGTAAAGAAAAGTAATTTATCATTTTAAACACATATGTAAATTAGTAAAGCTTAAACACCAATAACAAAAGAATTACGCCGCAGTAATGTAACATCACAGATGGAATGCTCACACAATTATTGAAATGCACATCTGGCTGTCTTCTTACAAAATAATTACAGATAAACATTAATAAGACTACAAATTTACATTTTAACTTTTATAACAATTTTAAAACAAACTTCTTGTAAAACAACTAAATATAATAACTATACAATTTATATCAGGCAATCTGTAAAATTTTACATGAAGTAATTTGACAGTATGATTCAAATTGTGAAAATAAAGAATAATCTTTAAAATCATTTAGAATCTTGTAAAACATTTTCATGTTTTTTTTTAAACTCATTATAACTAACTATCAATTAAATAAATTTAAAATACATTATATGACAACAAACTATCTTTCGGAATTAAATTTATTTACTTGACGAATTGATTACATGCAAGTACTTTTGATATTTCAAAATGTTATCCTTGAGCAAAGAAAGAACATTCAAATGTTAATTTTTAAAAACATTTTACATTAAGCAAAGTTAAGAATGTTTTTTAAATCTAAACGCATATTAGGTGTTACAAAAGATATGACAATTAGAATGCAATTCTTTGAAATCTCATTATAAAATAAATTGTACAATACTCTTAAATCAAGGAAAACTGACTATAACGTATCATGCCTAACTTTGACTTTTTAATTATATGTCTAAAATAAATTTTTTAAAATGCAATTTATAGTCATATTTGACTTATATCATTGTCAAATTATATATAACATCATACACAATAAGGAAAGATATAAGAAATGTTTTGCTAAAATGAAAAACCTTGTGTTTCACATGAAAAAAGAATTTGTACATATTAATATAACATTTTGAACAAGTTTATAAATAAAGAAACCATGGTTGAAACCATAGTGTAAGAATACAGTGATACCACTCCTATTGTTTGACGGTCGAAAACTTGTCAGGAATGTGGTCGTATTTTGCCACCAGGTGCCATCTTATCAGGAAGTCCATTTTGTATCGTTGTTTACAATTTACTATTGCCTCATTTGATAGTTTTAAAGAAATTCTTACAAAATCATGTCTTTTAAATGATGTGTGCACAATTGCAAAGGCAATTATTATCCAAAGAAACAAATAGTAAATGTATTTAAGGCACCAAAAAATTTGGAATAGTGTTAAAAAAAAAAAAAAAATTATAATAATAATGAATGAAAACAAGCAATACCACATGCAGATTGAGATCTGACTGAATGCTATGATCAGAGCCGTAACTAGCCATTCCTGTGCCCTGTGCAAGAATTTGCATTTAGGCCCCTTAATTTATCTGGTTTGGGAAAATAATAAAACAAATATATTACAATAGATTTTTAATAAGATTTATTTTAATTGAACTTTTCTGGCTTTCATTTCAGCAAATTCATTAATTACGTGATCATAATTAATATTTTTAATGATAATGTATTCTATTGAAATAATAGAAATATTGGACAATCGTTCTTGCCCTATAGTTAATCTTAATAAATTTTTTATTAATTTTAACTTGCTAAAACTTCTCTCGCACGAAGCAATAGAAACGGGAAGAGTTAGAAATATTCGAAGAGCGACATTGATATTTGGGTAAGACTCAAACCAAAATCATGAAGAGCCTGTAGAATATTAAGCGGAGATGCAGTTTCTATATTTTGTATAAGAGTCGTTACTTCAAACTTAAAACTTTCAATTTCACTTGTGAATTCGTACTTTTTTAAATCTTTGCTATATTTAATAGTGAGATCTGCAGCCGATTTTTTTTTTAAATCAGCAACACTCATGTATTGTAAAGACGAGCCATAGAGAAAGCAAAAATCAGCCTTTTTTCAATAGCATTTTAAAGATTTCGGGGGGCTCCTTCGAGGCCCTACTCGGCCGCATAGTTCGCTTACCGCCGTTGAGGTATACAACACACATGCGTACCACTATAAAGCAAAAAGTTATGTCAGAATTTCTGCACGCCTTTTACAACCTCGAGACTAACATTTTATTCGAGAGTTATCACGTTTTCTATTTAGCAATTTAGCAATTAAAAAAATCCCCGGGCAGATTTATTTTTCTTACAAAATGTTACTTTTATAGATTTCTAGCTCTGCACACTAAAAAAATCTAGAAATACAGTTTTGTATATCGTAATAATATTAGTCGTCGCCAGAGAGCTTTATAAAGTAGAGAAAAATCTATAAATTTGAAAACTATAAACATAAATTTAAATTTCTCAAAAAATAAATAAACAAAATTTAAAAAGTTTTGCTGATTTGTCTGCGGTCTCCGCTATCTCCCTACGTCCCTCTAAAAGTCGCCACGGTTGGGAACACTGGTGAGCAGACATCTAGGGTCTAAATAAGGCAAAATGTAATCGCCAATAAAAAGGAGGAAAAATTTAAGATTTAAAACTATAATTTCTTGTGAACAGCAGTTTGGGCCCCCCCTTCCAAGTGGGCCCTGTGCGAATGCACCTGTTGCACCTGCCTAGTTACGGCTCTGGCTATGATGTTTATGAGAAGAATTTTGCTCTGCATCAAATTCTTTGTTCGTGGAGAGTATACAAAGACAAAAAAGAAATCAATGTTTCTTATAAAACACTTTGACAAACTGAGAATGCAGTGTCCAGTTTATTTCTTAATTGCTCATCATACCTTTCTAAATCCAGAAAAGCACTTCAAAACTCTTTTAATTACCTTTATTATATTTTATAAACTATTTAACCAACCCATAACCTAAAAAAACTTCTAATTGCTGTATTTTTTTTCTACAGCAGTGTAAAAATTATAACCAAATATTTCTTATTATAGTGGTTTTTTGGGACAATTAGAAGAGCTGGATGTCAAAATAAATATCCTGCTTTTCCAACATTTTTGCAACTTTGCAATGATAATATACTGTGTTTCCCCGAAAATAAGACAGTGTCTTAAATTAATTTTTGCTCTGAAAGATGCGCTAGGTCTTATTTTCAGGGGATGTCTTATTTTTTCCATGAAGAAGAATTCACATTTATTATTGAACAAAAAAATTCCCAAGTCGAACTTAGACGAGAGTGACGTATATCCGGTCGTATCAAACTGAACTTAAATAAAACCGAAGTAAACTTACAAAGTTCCCGTGATGGAGTGGACTTCCCACTCACTTCAACTTAACCTTTTTATAGCGTCGATGACTGTTACATTTATTCAATAATATACAGTATATTTTTATTATATTATATTATATAAACTCAATAACATACTGTATATTATTGAGTTTATATTGTTTAAATGATACACTATTAAGAATTATGCTATACTAAAATTTGCCGCAGAAAAATTATATGCAAAACTCAAAACGTCTGTCAAGTGCATATGGAATAAAACAACCATTTTTAAAAGACACTTCTAAATAACGGACACCTTTAATTAACAAGCATTTTAACATTTTGGACACAAATAAAAAGACATTTATTCTTATACCAAAACTTTTACGGGGACGAAATTAAAAAGCTTTCAATGGTTTGAGCTTAAATTACATTTAATAGCTAAAGCAATATATATTTTAAACCTTTTTAGAGTATAAAAATATCAGTTTAATGAAGATTAAAAAAAAAAGTTATATACATATTCTATTACTTTTAATTATTTTATGTAAATTGCATTAATTTTATTGAAGTTAACACAAATTAGAGTTCAATTAGCAATAGTTGCTAGTGGTAATCAATGGTAAAAACTGGACTTCTAAATAGTCACATCTGGTGGATACTCGAGTAAGCTGAACCAGTTCACTAATGCCCTTGAATCACCTATATTCTTACACCATGGTTGAAACAAATAAGACTCATTTATTTATGATATTGAATAGAAATGCATTTGCTTTAACAGAGTATAAAACAGTGTGTAAAAAACAAATTTTAGATTTATATCCATCATCAGGAATGTTCAAAGAATTATAGAATGCTATTACCATTGTAATGTGTTTTATTATAATAAATATTTTTCCTTAAT